AAAAGTTAATCAAAGCCTTTTCTGCCTCATTAAGATAATTTGGAATTTAATACATGTTGGACCTCTAGGGTCAAAAAAGATGTGGTTTTTTCAGATAATTTTTCCTCCCTTTTTTTTTCTGTTGTTGCTGATGGTGATTCTGGCACAGACAGAAACAAATGTGAATACTGATATGTCATTTATTTTTGACAAAAATGACAGTGGGAGTGGCAGAGGAGTTCAGATAAGTCTGTTATGGAGAAAGTCCTGCATGATGAGCTAAGGAGAGAGAAGAAAGATCAGGAAGAAACAAGTGGCAGAGGTGGGGGAAGGAGGAACAGAAAGGCAGGTGGACCATCGACGGGCTGGAACTGCGATAAGAGGTCACGCAGGACATCTTCCCGCTGCAGGCCAAACTCCCCTGGGTGTTTCTCTTACTCCTAAAGATCTCTAGGAAACAGACCCTTTGTTTTCGATACAGGAAGCCAGCCCCAGCTCAGACAACACTCAACACAGAAGGTGCTCCAAGAAGAATAAGTTCAAAAGTCAGTTCCCTGTGCAGATGAACGCACTGTAGAGAAGACAGTGGTGAAAACCAGGTGCTATAAGAAAACCTTACATCAGCCTGCTCAGTGAGGTCGAGAATGTATAAATACTGCACGTAAAATGCACAATCATTGCCGTAGTCAAAGAATGGATGAATTGAAGTTACTTACATGGGGGGTTGTTTTTCCTTCTAATCAACTGATCGCTCTTTTCTTTACTCTTGCTTCTTAAAGTCTGCCTTTCCAGGGGCCAGCTCAGTGGCATAGCGGTTAAATTCTACGCTCCACTTTGGGGGCCTGGGGCTTGCAGGTTCGGATCCCAGTGGTGGACCTACACACCGCTCGTCAAGCCATACTGTGGCAGCATCCCACAAACAAAATGGAGGAAGATTGGCACAAATGCTAGCTCAGGGACAGTCTTCCTCAAGTAAAAAGAGGAAAATTGGCAACAGATGTTGGCTCAGGGACAATCTTCCTTAGGTAAAAAAATTTTAAAAAAGAGGAAGATTGGCAACAGATGGTAGTTCAGGGACAATCTTCCTCATAAAAAAATAAATAAGTAAATTAAAAAAAATAAAAGCAAAGCTGTATCTTATTATTTTTGTTTTAAATTGCCTTTCTGGAGAAGGGTGTAGTACTACAGAAGTCAGGCTACAGTAACGAAACACAGTGGTCCTAGGGCGCCACCTACTGGCAAGATCGCGGCAAAGGCCTGGCGCAAGGGGCTGTCCACGCAGCAGGAGCGACGCTCCGTAAAAACCAGCGCTTGTAAGTCGTGTTCTTACAGGTGTTCAAAACGTATAGTTATGTCAGGGACACAGCTTGACTCACGGTAAATTGGAATCTGTAAGAGCTGGATTTAATAGAGTCAAATCTCATTTTCCCCTAAGTGGTTTATAAACCCCATCCTTCCTCAGAGTAGGTTGGCTTTTTTTAAATATCGTATTTGGTACATACAGAAGCTATGTTAGTAAATACAATGATATAATGAACACCTGTGAACCCATTATTCCACCCAACCCAAAAACCTTCCAATGTCATCAGTGTGAAAATAAGTAATCCTGCTATCTGTATCTTCACACAGTCCCCAGTGAAATGAAAGCGCTTCAGCTCCGTGTAAGACCATGAGCAAATCTTGGAGGCATACAGTTGATTTTTTTAAGAAAGTAGGATCTGGAAGTCTGCATAGGGTATGATACAATTTTTACAAGGCTCATGAACAATAGAATATTCATTCTCAGAGAAATCACATTCGTGGTGCCTTAAATGCTGCAACAACACGGAGTGTGCTGTGTAGGGGATCCCGCGTATAGACACATTTGTTTGGCTCCATCCACAGTGAAGTCATGTTTACAACGTAAGCATGTCTTGACCAAAATCTCTTTGGCAGAAGGAAATGGAGAACACTCCTACAAATGTTAACTCACTTTTATTTTTCTCCCTATATCACCAACAAACATATTTTGACGAGCATTTTGAGAGGGCTTACCAAATGCCTGTGACTCTACGGCCTCCTCGAATCCCATCAAGACGACGGAAGAATAGACAAATGAAGTCAGGTTAGCACTCGACGCTAGAAAGAAGACAACTGGCTGACCAAAATAGAGAGACCTTTCTAGAAAAAGTAAAGCAGATGAAATTCTCAGTTGAGCCGGGGAGACTGCGAGTCAGTGCATATGTGTGCGCCAAGGTTCTCTGGTTGTAGGCAACAGAGGCAGCCTTGGGCTCACCGCATCAGAAGACGATTTACTGGAAGGATGCTGGATGGCTCACAGGCCTGACAGGAAGGCTGGAGACCAAAGGCTTGGGCAAGAAGAGGGAGCAAAGCAGCTGCAGGGCTGTAGGAAGTGGGAACGGCTTGTCACTCTTGTCAGAGACTGGTATCGCACGAATAATAAGATCCAACTCCTGCTTTCATCCTTGCCTGAATCCAGTCAAGGTACAAAGTTCCAGAACAAGAGAGGAAGTTTATTGCCTAGCTTGAGTCAAGAACCCTCTTCGGCTAGAGGGCAGAGCTCCCTGACTAAAGTCCCACCACTCTGCCCACAATAGGGGGAAGTAATACCTCAGATCACGGTGCCGTTACTGAATGAGATGGGAATTGACACTGGGTGGCCAAGGAGGCGCACCGTCACTACAACAGGGCCTTTCACGGATGAACGCATGAGCGAAATGTGTTACCTACACACCAGGGACTGTGATTCGGCCTGAAAAAGAAAGGAAGTCCCGTCACATGCTACGACGCGGATGAACCTCCAGGACGTTATGCTACATGAAAGCAAAATGCACCAATGCCGTAGGATTCCATTTATACGAGGCAGTCAAATTCACAGCAACAGGAAGGAGAAGGATGGTTACCAGGGGCTCGGGCGAGCGGGAAGGGCGAGTCGTCTGGTGGGGATAGAGTTTCAGATTTGCAAGATGAAAAAGTTCTGGAGGTCTGTTTAACAGCCAAGTGAATATGCTTAACACTACTGAACTGTTTTCTTAAAATGGTTGAGACAGGAAGTTTTATGTTACATGTTTTTTTTTTTTTTTTTACCACAATTAAAAATAAATACATAAATAAATGCAATAAATAAAACAACAGTAGAATCCAAGAGTAATCACAAGGCGAGTGCTAACAGGGGCTGGAAGACCACAAGTTATTAACCTAAGTTTCAGTTTCCTCAGGAAAAAAATTGGAATAATTTTAGAACTTCCTCCATGAGGCAGTTGTGAAGGGTAAATGAGATAAGGCATATGTAGTTCTCAGCAAAATGTTTAGTGCATGACAAGTGCCTCGCAAAAAGTTGGGAAAATATTGACACATTGGGAAGAACTAAAGGCATATTTGACAATATGGCTAGTGTAATCCCACTGACGTACAAAGAACTCTGGGTGTGTTTGTGTGTGTAAATACGCCTGAACAATAGAAATGTATTTAAACAAGATGGGAAAAAAATACCTGAAACTTTAACAGTAGTTCCCCTGAAGAAGCGTTTTGGGATTTGAGTGCATAGAGGGCAAATTTCACTTATTACTACAAGTGAAAATACAGAATTATTTGGATTTTTAACAGCAAGCATATTTTATGCTCTAAGTTGAGTAGGTAAAAAAATAATTGAATATATATACTTATGGTGTCCCGACTGTATGCACAAAGAAGTTAGGCATACAACTGGGCATGAATCATATCTACTTTCAGACTGATTAAAATGTGAGTAAAAAGGATGTTTACTTAAGAAGATAAATGACAACATAGGGTAGACTCTATGTTAAGACTCTATGTTAAGAGCCAGTCGGATGGTATAGATAAGAAGGCTGTACAAGATTTCAGTGGAGGAAGCCATCACTGTTGGCTGGTGGAGCTGAGAAAGACCTGAAGGGGAAGATGGAGCTCAAGTCTGGTCACGAAGCAAGGACTTAAATAGGGAGAAGAGAAGGCAGTTGGCATTCCAGGCAGAGGAGGGTGAGGGAAAGAAAAACTGGATATGGGAATGCCCGAGACATAACCACCAAACACAAGTAGGTGGTTTTGGCTAGAGAGGCAGCGTTAACGCGCAGAAATGCAGTGGAGCCCTCTGTGGTGGGCCCTGAAAGCTGGGAGGAGAATTTGGCCTTTGCCGCTGGACTTGGGGAGCCACTGAAAGCTTTCCAGCCAAGGAGTGATATCTGCAAATCAATACTTTAGGAAGATGAATCTGTCAGTGGCTTAAAGAAAATTTTGGATGGCAGAGAGAGTGGGAGACGGGTTAGATGAAGAAGGGATTGGTGTAATCTGATTTATGGTGACGTGGTCTAAAGCAAGGGATTAAAACCAGAAAGGAAAGTGCAAATGACAATATTAGGTTATACTCATGGGCCAGGCATTGATCTAAGTCATTTATAGATTTATGTAACATATGTATATATTTATGATATACATATATTATATACGTCATTCATCTAATTCTTACAGCAACCCTATAAGATAGGTGTCATTATTATCCCATTTTCCAGAAGAGAAAACTGAGGCCTAGAGAGGTTGAGTTACTTGCCCAAGGTCACACAGCTAAGAGGTGGTGGAAAGAGAAGTCCAGCCTAGGCAGATTGGCTTAGGAGCTCTTATCTGTAACCACTACACCAGAAGGGAGGATGAGAAAAAGAAAGAAAAGGGAGAGCTTCGAGTTCTTCACCAAGAACTACATGTAAGGGGACGAGGACGAGTCCAGGTTTACAAGCCTGTGGGATGGAGGGTGCTAAGCTTCAAGGAGGAAGGGGACGGAATCCCAGCAGTTGCTGCCAAGAAGAGAGCAGACGCCCAACGTCGGCTGCTCTTCACTTCATCTCGAGGGCAGGAGTCACGGGTCCTTTTAAGAATCTGATGGAAGAGTGGGCCTTCTCAGTAGGAAAAAAAACCACAGGCACAAACAAAACACTGCACACAATTCCATCTGGTTCACGAACTTCGGTTAAGTCTTGCCCTAAATATGTCACGTAAACAATTCAATAACGGACATTTCTATAGTAGAAATTTTATTTCCATTCATAAAATATATCACTAAATAGCTGAAAAAGTTACATATTATTTTAAAACATAGATTTAAAAAATCATATTAGCTTCTCCTTAGCAAAATGCTTGTTTTACGTATTTACAAGGATATACTATACTTCAGGTACACGATTTTCACTCAAGCCAGCCCGAGACGGCCTTTGGATGTAGGTAGATGCTCCAGCAGAGTTAGTTATCCGCTCCCCCCTGCCTTGTGCAAAGGATGATTCGATTTTACAAAAGTTCCTTTGAAAACAAGAGTAAATACAGAGAGCTTCTAGAGAAAAGTCCAGCAAAGCAGTAGTTGAGAATGTATTTCCTTTTAGTGATGAAATTAACCTCGTTTTGGTGATCTACAGCCTGTTTAAGGTGGGCAGGGGGGTTGGGTCCTTAAGACTAAATGGTTTCTCTACGAATCTTCAACGTGAGCCTGTGGAGAGGGTAGCCCTGAATCCACCTCTCTGCTGTAAGGTCGCCTGTTTTGATAGACAGAAGGACGTCCCGAAACGTGACCATCCATGTTCTGATACATCTGAATACGGAAAGAGACAGAACATTGATTACCATCTGATAAAGACTTACATGTCGTGTGCCTATATGGCAAATTATTACTGACTTTTAGCTACCCACAGGTCTCCGAAGATATTCTACGTGTTAATTGACAAAGCAATTTTGGTCCTTTTACTAATGGAGAAATCAGGTCATAGTCAAGTATTTCATTTCATTATTGTTTCTACCTTTAGACATAAAATCTCAATCTAGAAATCTTAAAGCCATGCAGAAAAACCATAAAAGAGTAAGGACACAAAAAGAGATCCGTTCATTACGCAATTAATACAGGAGACTGATTCCTGAGTTTTCACTTGGGAGTTTAGTGACTTCTAAATAATTTTCCCAGATGAAAACAACTTTACTTTTTTTCTGTTTATAAAGTTAACACACATTCATATAGATGATTAAGGAGTATAGAAAGATACATGGAAAAAAGCTAAAATCATCAGAGGCACCCGCTATTATGGATAGCTTGCTATGGACACAGGTACACAAGATTTTGTGTCTGTAGGCTCAGATCGTAGATTCTGTTTTAGGACCTTATTTTAAATTACTAATATATCGTTTTTATGTTGTTCATATGTTACATATTTTCACTATTCACTAAACATGAGCACATATCATCTTTTTAACGGCAGCCTAGGGTTCCACAGTAGTGATGTCCCATGATGAAGCTTTCGATGGATTGCTTATATAATATAAACTGAAAAGTGCACAAGTGGCTTTGCTTGTCTTTGGGACAAAATAAAGGCAGTGGAATTGCTGGTTCAAAGAGGATGCACATCTGAATGGTGGTCCATGTGACCAGGCTGCCCTGCAGAAAGGTTTACTTATTTCTACTCCTATCAACTGTGCTGGGAACACTATTTTCTCCAGAGCCTCACCAACAGTGGGTATTAACAATCATTCACATCTCTAGCCCTTTGTCAAGAAACAAGTTCTATTACCTCCTTACCTGCATGTTTCGTGATAAGCAAAGGTGAGCATCTCTTTCTATATTCAGTGGCCATTTGCATTTCATTGTGAATAGCCTGCTTACCTCCTTTGCCCTTTTATATTGGACCATACATGTTTTGCCTGTTATTTATAAGGACTCTTTGTAACATAGGGATCACGTATTCTGTTTGACAGACTCCCTCCCTTCCCCCACCCCTCGCTACCGTTTATTGCTTTTTGTTAGTGTATTTTTGACAGTCAGTTATAGTGCTAACTGACGGGACTGTCTTCCACTCTTAATTTTTCTTTCTAGAAAACAAAAAAATATATATTTCCTTTTGAACCTGGTCTGTACAATGACAGTAACTTGAGGATGGGTAGTAACAATACATCTTTTTTGTGAAGTGGACAGAGCAGTTGGTTATGACCTGTTGGACTTGTTGATTCCAAATGCCTATCTCTCACGCTGAATTTCTAACCATCTAATAAAGCCTGTGACGTAAATACCAATAACACCTCAAATCCAGCATCTCCATGCCTGAATTCATTATCTTTGACCCCAAACCTTCTCTTCCTCCGTATTTTTGTAGCTGTAAATTGTATTTGCAATTTCACACCGCCATTCATCCAGTCCCACAGGCAGAAGTTTCGGAATCATCTCGAGCTGTCTCCTCCCACAGCCAATTGGTTATGGGTCTAGTTCTGATATGTCACTTTTTAATGTTGTCCTTTCCATTTCTTTAGGTGATTTTTTTTTTAAAGATTTTATTTTTTCCTTTTTCTCCCCAAACCCCCCCGTACATAGTTGTATATTCTTTGTTGTGGGTCCTTCTAGTTGTGGCATGTGGGACGCTGCCTCAGCGTGGTTTGATGAGCAGTGTCATGTCCGCGCCCAGGATTCGAACCAACGAAACACTGGGCCGCCTGCAGCGGAGCGCGCAAACTTAACTGCTCGGCCACGGGGCCAGCCCCTCTTTAGGTGATTTTTAAATGACTTTTTTAATTGCACAAGTAATAGATGAGTAGATTTTCCTTATAAAAATTTGGAACTCTAGGTTTTCAAATGTATCAACATAAAGAGGTACATAAGATTTTCTTATACTTTTTAAAATGTTTTTTCTATCCTTAGTTATGTTCTCCTTTAATTCTGAATGTTACCTATTTGTGCTTTCTCTTTTTGCTTCATTGTTCTCTTCAAAGTCAGTATGCTGTAGTGGTATATTTGTTTAGTGCCTTGTTAATACGCAATATTAATATACAGTGTAGACCAAAGCCAAACTGCCGTATTCAAATCCTAAGTCTGACACTGTGTTACCTTGGGCAAATTACTTAACCTCTCTGTAGGTCAATTTACTAATCTGCAAAAGAGATAATAATAGAACCTACTTCATGAGACTGATGTGAGGATTAAAGGCGTTATTATGGGTAATATATTGGGAGAGTGCATGATAAACACTCAAAAAATGTTCGCTATTACATTGTTACCATTATTAGTTCAAAAAACAACTTTGGGTTTCCCTGATCATCATTACTATTTTATTTTTGCTGCTATCCTCAGTTTAATTAATTCTGCCTTTATCCCTATTACTTCTTCCTTCTGCTTTGTTCATTCTCTTCCTTCTCTCCCTCCTCCCTTTTCTTCACTGCTTTTTTTCTTTGCATCTTGAGTTGCAAGTTTAGTCATCTATTTTTTTTTCTTTTTTGTTTCCTAACAAATGAATGTAGAGTTATATATTTGGCCAACTCCCACAGGTTTTAATATGCAGTGTCCACGTTAATTTCTTTTCCCTGCTCTTCCTTTCCCCCTCGTCCTTTGTCTTAACTACGACTTCTGTAAGAAGCGTGATTTTTAATTTCAGACATATGACTTTGGGGGCTTTTTCAGTTGCTGTTGGTGATTTCTCATTTCACTACATTACGGTTAGTGGATGTGACCTGTCTGACAATTTTATTTATTTTGAAATTCTCTTTCTCAAGTGGGTTTACTAATTCCTGCCATTTTGTGCTTTCTATTTCCAGGAATTCTCTTTGTTTCTCTCTTCCCCATTTTGTTGGGTTGATCATGTTTTCTCAGGTCCTTTTTTTCTTCTATACTGAACTTGAGGTTATATATCTCTCTTTATTTTACCGGTGGTTATACTTACGTTTTTAACACCCATATTATTCTTATGTTTATTTAACAGGGTGGCTGCTCCCACTGCAGAACTTCTGCAGAATCCCACTAGACGTCTTCCTCCCTTTTATGAAAGCACTTTTCTTTGTTTTTTTCAAAGCATCCTCTGTTGTGAATTTTCCCTCTTCACTCCAGTCTTAACTGCTTTCATTGTCTCAGGGATTTTCCACAGTTTCTGGTCCACAAAGATCTCCTTCTTGCTTTCAAAGACAATTATGGCCTCACTTCTTTTTTTAAAAAATATATATATATTTCCTATAATTTTGGGAGCTGATATGAAAGGAGAGATGATGTGAGTTCAGGCCCCTTCCTTGAAACAGGAGGTGTGGGTGTCCCTTCCTTCCATCATCCCCACTGCCACCACCTTAGTTCACCTCTTCATCGTTGCTCCTCTCTACTGCTGTAGTCGCCTCTTAACTGATGTCCTTACTTATTTTTTTCTTTTTATTTTGGTAAGGAAGATTTTCCCTGAGCTAACATCTGTTGCCAATCTTCCTCTATTTTGTATGTGGGTCACTGCCACAGCATGGCTCGATGAGCGGTGTGTAGGTCCATGCCCAGGATCTGAAACTGTGAACCCTGGGCCACCAAAGCAGAGCATGTGAACTTAACCATTACACCACTGGGCCGGCCCCCTGATGTCCTTACTTTTAACCTTTTTCCTCTTCTTTCCCAAACTTACTTTTATGTCTCCTTTCCTTCCTTTCTTCCTTCCTTCCAGAAATATTTGCTTAGCTTCTTCCATATGCCAAGCATTATGCTAGCAGTTGGGTATGTAAGAGTGAACAAGACAGATGTGGTCTCTAACCTACTTTCATGCTGACATCCATTCATTTATTTAATAACCAGTTATCGTCTCCTGCCTCTGAGACTACTCCAGGTGATATAAGATGAGCAGTGCATCATCCTTGCCCTCACAAATCAGTCTAGTGATGAGAAAGACAGACCCATAAAGCAAAATTATCATACAACATGATCTGAGTCTCACATAGAGAGAGGTATGGGATTTCTCACATAGAGAAAGTGCTATGGGATTCAGAAGAAGGAGACTGAAACGTGACTAGGGGAGTTAGGGGAGTCTCTGCAGAGGAGAGAATAGTCACTCTGGGCCTTTACGGCAAATATTGAAGCATGTTTGCCCATTGTGAAAATCTTCACTGATTTGCCATCATCTAAATAATGCCTTAGACTGTCGTTCAGTGGTCTCCCTGAGCTAACTCCATACTGCTGGGGCTGGGTCATATCTAAAGCTATTAGCCTACGTTTCTCTATGTGTTTCCCTTCGCTTCTTTCTTGTTCTCCGAGGGCCATTTTCCTTCCCTAGTCCATGATGAAGCAGAAACAGAGAATGTACAAAAACCATTCTCACGAGTACTAGGAAAGATTCCCCTGGGCATGCTAGCAAGTCCCGTTTTCCCATCCAAGAGACCAGATATGACGGTGCTCAGGGAACGTGAAGGGAAAAGATGGAGTGGCACCAGAGGAGGAGCAAGCTCTGCTCACAGCGGTCAGGGCTACCTGAGATGATTGTGTAGATTATGTCTTGCTCAAAGATGCCCAGCCAAGCAGGCAGGTGGGGACTGAAAGTCAACCTATGCTCTACTCCCCAGGCTTCTAGACTGGAGCGTACTACACCAGCCAGGGGTACAGAGTTCCTCTTGGTGTATTCATCCTGCCCAGAGGGGGGCGCCATTTTCTAACTTAACTAAAGAAGCTACAGCTTGCTACCTGTAGCTGATACTGATAGGGAAAAGAGCCTTCTGTCACAAAGGGTCAAGGAGCAGAGTGGACGAGATGGGGGAAAAAATGTTGGAGAAGCATCCTTGGGCATGCATACCCTGACCTGAATCATCAGCCATGGAGAACTTGCCATTCAACAATTCCTGATACCCCTAAGGCCCCCTGAACAAAATGAAGGGTATCTGGACGTCCTGGGGGTGTAGAGCTATGAAAGGAGAACCGCACACCAACCCCAGGTGGTCCTGAACAAAGCCAAGGGCTCTCTAGCAGCAGCGGACGCTCCCCCCGGTTACACTATACTCAGTCTTGTTTTCTTCCACATTCCCCCACTCACTGTATAGTTTAGCCACACCATTTATTTTCCATTCAACATTCTCAACTTTGAACCTTTATTTGTCTTACTCATTCAGCCTGGAACACCTTACTAACCCCCTCCCTACCCAACAGCCAAAATACCACTCATTCTTCACAGCCCAGCTCAAATAACACCTCTGGGAATCCATATCCAACTGCCCAACAAGCAAAAATTACTCAATACTTTTTCTTTATTCCAACAGCTCATTTCTTGTTTCTTCATATAACTCTTCTTTCAGTTTATCTTATAGTGTCATTAACTGTTTAAAGGTCATCTGCCCAATAGCCTAGAAGTCCCTTGGGGGCTTTTCGTCTCCCTCAACATTTTTGACCCAATTCCCTGAAATAACTTAATTTCCATATGTGATTTAAAAAAATAATAACAGGAGAAGAGGACACACACCATCTATGCAGCTCTCTGGAAAGAATGCAGAATTGAAAATGGACTCAGTAATTTAGAAAAGAGGGCAGACAATCCATTTAAAGAATCAGATTCATATTTAACTAACAATTATTGAGTAACCACAAAGTGCCCAGTAGGGGCTAGGTCTTTACACAGATGTCATCTTATTTATTCCCTATAACTCCATGAAGTGAGATTTGTTAATCCAATATTTCAGATAAGGAAGTTGAGATCTCAAAAAACGTCAAGTGGAGCCAGCCCTGATGGCCTGGCAGTTACAGTTTGGCATGCTCCAGTTCGGCAGCCCAGGTTCAGTTCCTGGGTGCAGAACCACATCACTCGTCTGTCAGTAGCCATGCTGTGGTGGTGGCTCACACAGGAGAACTAGAAGGACTTAAAAGTAGAATATACCACCATGTACCAGGGCTTTGGGGAGGAAAAGGAAAAAGAGAGAGAGAGGAAGATTGGCAACACATGTTAGCTTAGAGTGAATCTTTCCCAGCAAAAAAAAAAAAAAAAAAGATTAAGTGATTTATTCAAGTCATATAAGAAGTAAATTATGGAGACAAGATTTAAATCTAGGTACTGGGAGTTCAAGGTCCCATCTTTTGTTCACTTTGTCTAGGGATGGCTCCTTTCACAACACCAGGTGGTGTTGATGAGGGAAGAGTCAGCAAAGTAATTCCAAGTTCCCGAATCATCTAGTTTAGCAACCCATTTCACAGATGAGAAAACTGAGGCCCAGAGAAGTAAAGTGACTTGCCATCATTGACATAGCTATTAGGAGGGAGAGCAGCTGAGCTGATGTTAGACCCTCATGGCTCCAAGTCAACGCTCTTTCTGTCTACAGTATCACATGACTGAGTTGTATGATTATTCCACACTAAAGCCTCATGTTGAATTAGGAAAGGTCAGTGGCTTCTGGAGGTCGGGGATTAAGTTTTATTCAGTTGTCTGTCTGCACTGGACACTTCAAAGCAGATAATTTCTTAATCAATTGGCTGAAATCTTCAGGAAAATTTTTTTCTTCTTTTTTTCCTAAAAACACTTATCAACAAATATATCTAACCCATACAACTTTTAAAGGGCAACCAAAATAAATTGTGGAGAGAAAGACAACTTGGGATCTTTGGTTTTTAAGAAATCAGCAACCAGTGTTCTTGTTTACCGCTTTCCTTTATGATAATGCTTTATAAAGCGCTGTGCTGCTACATACCGCTTCTTCTGCATCTGCCAGCTGACAGCCTAAAAACGAAGTCAGATTAGGGAAGGATGGTCGTTTCCTTGAGTCAAAAGCCCAGCAGGATTGCATTATAAAGTATCTGTAAAAGCAACAGAACGAGGAGCAAGATGAGGAAATCTGAATGAAGCAAAATGCATCGTTTTCCACATAATGAAGCACCATGTATTGCGGTGGAGATATTTACGGCATGTTTGTTTTGTGGCAAGTACTCAACTAGATTTTGAACTCATATCAGAAAGGACAAATTAGATGCTGGACAGAAATGCATTTAAAGAAACATGATGTGGCCCAGAAATCAGGAGATGGAGTCTTGTCACCTTCTCGGATCCTTCGAGCAAAGGAATTGAAACCCAGAAGCAAGAGTCTCTCAGGGCAGGAAAGGTTCAGTTTTGTTCAGAAATCCCCCCCACCTCCAAAAGGAAGAATTTCATTTTCTTTTCTTTTTCTAAGAGGAATCATATGAACTTTGCATTACGGAAATTTTATTTTCTTTTTGTCACGCATTTGGAACTAGATGGACTGTAAATTTCTGATTCTAGCTGATTTACAGTCTGATTTGAACTTACATTTCTTCTGTAGCATAAAATGGCTGATCCATTTTAAATCCACTCTGAATGAGTTTATAGAAGTTAGCGTCAACAGGAATACCAGGGTAAGGATTGACACCTGAGAAAAACATTAAGAAGTATGACCATTCATTCATTCTTTCTTCGTTTATTTATTCATTCAACTAACAAACATGTATTGAGAGCTCCCATGGCCCAGACACTGCTCGGTGCTAGGGCGGCAAGTGGGAAAAGTCACAGTTCCTGCTCTCAAGCTGGTTATAGGCTGGTGGGGAAGACAGATCTATAGACAACAGCAAATAAAACATAAAGTTCCCAGCATTACCCTGATACCAAAGCCAGACAAGGACACCACAAGAAAAAAATATTACAGGCCAATATCCTTGATGAACATAGATGCAAAAACTCTCAACAAAATATTAAGAATCCAAATTCAACAATACATTAAAAGGATCACAGGGCTGGCCTGGTGGCATAGTGGTTAAGTTCGTGTGCTCTGCTTTGGTAGCCCAGGGTTCTGATTCCAGGCATGGACCTACACACGGCTCATCAAGCCATGCTGTGGTGTCATTCCACATACAAAATAGAGGAAGATTGGCACAGATGTTACCTCAGGGCCAATCTTCCTCATCCCCCCGAAAAAAGGATTATAGACCATGATCAAATGAAATTTATTCCAGGGATGCAAGGATGGTTCAACACCCACAAATCAATCAATGTGATACACCACATTAACAAAATGAAGGATAAAAATTATTGATCTTCTCAATAGATTCAGAAAAAGTATTTCACAAAATTCAACATCCATTTATGGTAAAAATTTTCAACAAAGTGGATATAGAGGGAATGTACCTCAACATAATAAAGGCCGTGTATGACAAGCCCACAGCTAACATCATACTCAGTGGTGAAAAGCTGAAAGCTTTTCCTCTAAGGTCAGGAACAAGACAAATATAGCCACTATCACCACTTTTTTCAACATAGTATTGGAAGTCCTAGCCAGAGCAATTGGGCAAGAAAAAGAAATTAAAAAGCATCCAAATTGGAAAGGAAGAAGTAATATGTCACCATTTGCAGATGACATACTATATATAGAAAATCCTAAGGCTTCACCAAAAAACTATTAGAACTAATAAATGAATTCAGTAAAGTTATAGGATACAAAATCAATACACCAAAAATCTATTGCATTTCTATACACTAAGAACAAACTATCAGAAATAGAAATTAAAAAAAATCCTATTTACAAACACATCAAAAAGAATCAAATGCCTAGAAATAAATTTAAACAAGGATATGAAAGATCTGTACACTGAAAACTATAAGCATTAATGAAAAAAATTTTGGTAAATATCTGATAAGGGGTTAATATCCAAAGTATATAAAGAACTCATACAACTCAACAACAAAAAAACAAACAGATTAAAACATGGGCGGAAGATCTGAATAGATACTCTTCTAAAGGAGATATACAGATGACCAATAGGTATATGAAAAAATGCTCAACATCACTAATCATCAGAGAAATGCAGATCAAAACCACAATGAGATATCACCTCACACCTGTTAGAATGGCTATTATCAAAAAGACAAGAAATAACAAGTGTTGGCAAGGATGTGGCGAAAAGGGAACCCTTGTGCCCTGTTGGTGGGATTGTAAATTGGTGCAATCACTATGGAAAACAGTAAGAGTTTCCTCAAAGAATTAAAAATAGAACTAGGACATTATCCAGCAATTCCACTTCTGGGTATTTATCCAAAAATACTGAAAACTAACTCAAAAAGATACATGTACCCCCTTGTTCATTGCAGCATTATTTATAGTAGCTGTAAATATCATAGAAACAACCTAAGTGTCCATTGATGGATAAACGGATAAAGAAAATGTAGCATATGTACATATATAATAGGATATTATTCAGCCATAAAAAAGAATGAAATCTTGCCATTTGTGACAACATGGATGGACCTTGAGGGTATTATGCTAAGTGAAATAAGGCAGACAGAGAAAGACAAATACCATGTGATCTCACTTATACATGGAAACTAAAAAAAAAACTCAAAAAACTCAAGCTCAGAGATGCAGAGAACAGACTGGTGGTTGGCAGAGGCAGGGGGTGGGGAGTGGGTGAAATGGGTGAAAGTGGTCAAAAGGTACAAACTTCCAGTTATAATATAAATAAGTCCTGGGGATGTAATGTACAGCGTGGTGACTATAGTTAATAATACTGTACTGCATATTTGAAAGTGGCTAAGAGAGTAAATCTTAAAACTTCTGATCCCAGGAAAAAAATTTTGTAACTATGTATGATGATGGATGTTAACTAGACTTCTTGTGGTGATCATTTCGCAGTATACACAAATATCAAATCATTACGGTGTACACCTGAAGCTAATGTAATTTTATATGTCATTTACATCTCAAGTAAAAAAATAATTAAATAAAATGGCACGTGGCTCAACAGAAGGAAGATGACGGAGCTCTGGAGCATTCGAGGTGGCATTTCACCCACTCTGACTCAGGGGGTAGCAGAGTGGGGGAGGGGTGCAGAGGGAGCAGAACATGTGCCACGAGGACAGCAAACTAGGAAACTTACCAAGCGAGAATATTTCCCAGAGTAATATTCCGTATGACCAGACATCACTCTTAATTGTGTAGATCCCTTCAAATAAGCTTTCAGGAGCCATCCACTTCACAGGCAAACGGGCCTGTGTAAAACCCAAGAGGAGATCGAATGGTGAATTTTCCATATTACAAACATTACATCTTTTCTCCCGTTCACTAGATGATGACATTTATTATCTTCCTAAGGTCATTTTTAATGCTTAATTGAGAAAATCATATTCCTCAAATGGAATTTTTTCACTTTCAAATTAACATTCTAACAAAGTAGCCTTAACAAACAACCGCTCCTATTTCTTTAAGACTCAGCTTGAACAAAGGCTCGTGGTTGGAATTAATAAGTTTAACCGTAGATAGTCAGTTTCCTTTAAGGAGTAGCTAGTCAGTTCCCAGAAGTAAGTGGATACTAGTGAATTAGCGAAATATTTTGTTAAAGCATTTCTTGGGAGAACATTGGTGGAAATGCCGTCCACAAGAATGTGGTGAGGGGAGCGTATGTTGTCACTTCCAGAAACGATACCAGGCTGGCTTCTGTGGTTTTAATAATTTCCAGTAGCATGACAGGGGGATTTTGAATTAGCACAGCCTCAGATTAGAATCAAGACGCAGGGATGGACAGGTTGCTGGGGCACAGCACTTTGTAGTAGTTTCTTTTTCTTGGGTTGAGGAACCCTTCACAGGGCACGTTTAATCTGCCAAGTAAAAATCAAAGCTCAAGAAAGAAACCTTATTTTATCCTATACAAACCTTATCCTAAACAAACTGATGAGCTGATTGAATCAAGCAAGCCGGTCTGGTTAATTTGATTAATTAAAAGAATTACTTGTGGTTCCAAATAGGATTTGCCTTCCCACATAAGAGACCACCAGCTGGTAGGATAGAAAGTGCATAGCCATATATGAGCATTCATCATATTTATGACTTCAGCTACAATGACTGAGGCATGGATCTAAAATCAGCTAAGATGATTCTTTGATTCTAGAGGGAATACAGTTTAATTTGATTTTTAACATTTGTTGCACATGTGCTTTCATGCTGGTTTAATGGTTTATTCCCATAACAACACTATGAGCTAAGTGTATAATTCTCATGGGAAATGCTATATCATAGTGGTTATGCACAGACTGGGGGCTCAGACCGTTCGTGTTCCAATCCACGTGCTGTGTGACAATGGGCAAGTTACTTTCTGTGCCTCGACTTCCTACCCACAAATGGGTAGATTGAGGACTAAATGAATTAACATATGTAAAGCACTTAGCATAGTGCTTAGCACACAGGAAGCATTCCCTAGCATTTGTCGTTATTATTATTTCACAAGTAGGGACAATAAAGCAGAGAGAAATCCCAAAGATGAACAACTGAAAAGAAGAATAAGGGTTTAAATCCAGGTGTTGTGATTCTTAAAACCATACTCTTTCATCTACACAATTTTATCACCTAGTATTTCTAATAGTTCCCTTGTAAATAACACATCTGTCCTTCATTTTTTTTAACAAGTAGATTCAGTCATGTCTCAGGTTTCCTTGTGTAACTAATAGGATGACAAATATTCATTAAATAACATTTAATTTAAATTTTGTACCTTTCAAAATGTATATGTAATATCTAATTCTTTATGTTGTATTTTTTAAAATGCTTTGTTTTAACTATTGTTGTTGTTAGTACCATTGAATCGATTCTGACCCCTAGCAATCCTGTGTACCGCAGAGCAGAACCCTGCCTGGTCCTTCTGAGACATCCTCTCACCTCCCGGTGCCCTATCAGACGGTGCTCCACTGCCATTCACAGGGTTTTCATGGCCAATTTTTTTGGAAGTGGGTGGCCAGGTCCTTCTTCCTACTCTGTCTTAGTCTGGAAGCTCTGCTGAAATCTGTCCACCATGGGTGACCCTGCTGGTGTTTGAAATCCTAGTGGCACAGCTTTCGGCATCACAGCAACATGCAGCTGCCACAGTATGACTGACAACTGACAGACAGGTGGTGTGGTCCCCTGACTGGGAAATGAACCAGGGCTGTGGCAGAGAGAGTGCAGAATCTTAACCACTAGACCACCAGGGCTGGCTATTATAACAATTACCTATTCCCATAATTGGAAACATAACTCAATAGTCACTTTATAGCTAAGAGAACTGAAATAAAAGCAAGTAACGAGGTTTTTTTTAAAGTGTGGATTGTACTCAAAAGCCCCTAATTGCTCTATTCTGACTAGCCCAAGGATAGATGTGATGCTATTTTGCTCAACTTTTATTACAGATGGAATATTCCCCGAAGCTGCAGAAAAACCTTTTAAGCATAAGAAAGCAAATTGCTGGGAGGGAGTGTTTTGATGTTACCATAAATCAAAAATGTATGACGGTGAGTGCAGATGTTTACCATCACAAGGACAGAACACAAAATAGCAGTATAAAAATATGTCAGAAATAGCAGTCTCACATTGCCCCTGATAACGTAGTTGGAATCACTCATAATATCTCGAGCCAGTCCAAAATCACATATCTTCACCACCTTCCCGTGGGTCACGAGCACATTCCTGGCTGCCAGGTCTCTGTGAACACACTAGAAAGATTGAAATTGGAGTGTTATTTACTGCTATGTATATTATCACAGAGCGCAATCTTTCTTCTAGTTTCAAGTTCAGTAAGAGTTACAGATGACAGAAATGTATAATTCTTCACGGTTCTTCTATCTTTGCTGGGCTGAGAATGGTCATCACAATGGGTAACAAGTCAAGTGAACGTGGGTGGCCCAGCTCTTCAGCTACTGTGGTTGCAGTCACTTGTGCTACTTTTGGAACATTCCAGAGGCCAAAGGGTTCTTAGAAAGGAGCTCAAACCCAGCGGGATGTGGACTCTTGAAATAACAAGAGACAACAACAGGGCCCTCTGCTGAGCTCCCAGAGGGATTTCCAGAGGCCTTCTTCCAGCACTCTTATAATGAGGTGGAGAAAACAATCTTGTTTCTGACTGGAAAATAGCTTTGGCAATAAAATGGAGTAATATCAAAGAAAATATTCAGAAAAAAATAGTAAATTTGGGAAGGTTGACTAAAGTGGAAATAGAAGGAATCCTTGAGTTGAGAGATGGCATGACACTAATCCGAGTGGTCTGGCAAGAAAATCAATTCTATGAAGGATTTTAAAAGGAACAGAGTACTAGGATAGCAAAGATCCAAAGGACTCTCTTCAATCTTTAAAAAATAAAAGCCAAAACCATAAAGACTAAAATCTCTCTAGCTCTCCTTTCTGCCCACCCCACTCTCAGTTTTCTGAGAGTCCTGTCACTTGCAAGCTCCATTTACATTTCATCCACTTTATTTCCGGGCCCGTGCAACCTGCCTTCCACCTCCCACTTGTCTGCCCAAGCTGTTTTGGCTAAGCCCCCAGTGACCTGCACGGCACCAACCCAGCGGAGATTTGATTTGACTGCTCGATGGCATCCGGTACTGTTTGCAGCCTGTCTTCCTTCAAGTCCTTCCTTCTGTGAATTCTGCACACCACTCGCCCCTGTTTTCTTCCTACTCCTCCAGTGGTCCCCATTTCCTCCTGTGGCTCTGTGCATGAGCCTGCTCTCATCCCCAGGGCCACACCCTCTCATTCCACATCCTCCCCTGAGTCATCCAAACCCAGGGATGCAACTACCATCACCAAATCTCTACTTCCAACCCAAACGTTTCTCTTGAGCTTCATATAGGAATATCCAAATACCTACCGGACTAAGCTCTACTTTGTTGCCAAATGAGCCTCACGTTCAACGTGTTTAACTTATGACCTTTCTTATCAAACTTCCTGCTGATTGCATGTTCTTTCTTCTATCCCAAGTTCCGTTCTGGTTTTCCTTTTCCTTCAAAAATCTCCTCCAGCCCAAGCATGAACTTCTTCAGAAAGCCTTTTCTTTAGCGCCTCTCCTCCCCCAGGTCTGACGTGCCTGCCCCTCTCCTGGGTTCCCAGAACTTACTCGAACACAATATTCATCACAATACAGCGCAATCTTGGATTTGCACGTCTGCTCGTCTCTTTCTCCCCATCAATGATAAGATCTGACTCTGTGTCTCAGCACCTACCGCAGTACTAGGCACGTAGTCAGTGCTCAACTAATGACTGATGGAGTCAAAGAGCCCATGGAGGAGACTGAGGAGTGCCCAGAGAAGCAGGGAGAAGAAGCAGGGAGACATGACGATTCAGAGGGAAAGGTCTAAAGGGAAAACGAGGGGCGGAGTCTAAGAAACTGGACAGTCTTCAAAAAATTCATATTCTTACAAGCCCAGGGGGGAAAAAGCAGTGTTCTTTGACCTCCAACTGCGAGTGGTTTGAGTGTTTACTTAACTTTAGGCAGCAAACGGGCCAGATGATCTAGGGAGATGCCCTCCGATGTCTGTGAAGACATTCATGAAAGCTCTACTGTGGACGTGTAGGTGAACTATAGTAAAGAAACTTGAGAAAAGGGGATCCCATAGCACACGGGGAAGACGAAGAGAAGAATGTGCCTTAGAGATGAGGGGTGGGAAAACATAACAAGACCGTGAGGTTTTAAAGAAAAAAATACATTGAAATTAGTCTCTCCAAATTCAGGGGGAAGGAGGAGAGAGGAGGCAGAGGGAAGGAAGTGGAGGGGAGAGGGAGGAAGAGACCAGGAGACTCAAAGAGAAAAGAGGAGGGAAAAGTTTGGGAAATAAAGAGAAGGTGATGGAAGGCAAGAAAATGAGGAGAGAAAGTAGCCAGAGGAATGGCTTTAATCTGCTTACAGGCAGGAGACATGTGAAATGTCAGAGAACCGCAGGACAGAAAGGCCAATTAGAGGGAGAACGCAGAATTGAGACAGAGTCCATGGTTCGATGCAGGCTCCATGGCCTCGGCATCACAGCACCAACGGATCTGGGATTAGCAGCGGAGGCAGTAGGCCTACAGGGCTGCTGCTGGCCCACAGCATGACGGTGTGGATTAGGCAAAGGTGCCCAGGGTGGCTGACTTGGCAAGCAGAGCACATGGATCTGAGCCTCCACTCACCCGCTGGGTCAAACCCCCACGTGAGGGCACAGCCTGAACAACCTGAACTGACTGTCCAGGGAGGGGCTGACACTGCGCAAGTGATTTCAAGGAGGGACTCTGGGGAACTTCTGTCTGGAGGTCTGTGATAACCATCATCTCAGGAGGGATCCCAGGCCTCTATACCATCATCAGCCAAGAGCTGAGGTAACTGACATTCGAGGTGACTCCCACAGTGAACAGTGAGGGGAGAGAGACAGACTCTAAGGCACACAAGTTAAAATAAACAAGAAAAAAAAAATCACATCTCTTTTTCAAAATTATCTTTTTTTCTTGTTACTAGTCTCTCCACTAAAGGAGCTTACCGACTTAAATTCCAGAAATTCCATTCCTTTGGCAACTTGGTATGCAAAGCAAAGAAGGTCTTCAAACGTAAGCACGTTCAAGTCCTCTTCTTCCTCCAGCCTTTTTTGGTTTTCATATTCAATTTCATCTATAAAATAGAACTGGTCCTCATTTTTGCCAAAACTCTAAGAAATTGCCTTATTAAATGTCTATAAGGAGGTTATTAAAGCTACAGTTAGGTGAGGCGCTAAGACATACACAGGAAGTTATCCCATCATTTTCCTGGTAGCACCAGGGCCACCCTGTGTATGCGGAGAACGGCGCAGCCTAGGAAGGGTCACCCGAAGATTTTCTTTGGTTAGAGGAACAAATTCTCTAGCTGCTCTGGCGATACATGGCCTCCCAATTAGTCAGGATTTCAGATGCTCTTCTTTTGCACTGGGTAGTTTTGTCACATTGGGAAAAGAATTAACACTAATCTACCACATCTTATGAACCGCATTATGCACAATGTCCTTCCATTTAACCCTTCTAATAGTGCTATGAGGAAAGTATTATTAGGCCCATTTTACAGATGAGAAAATTGTGTCTCAGATGGTTAAAGAACTTGTCCAAAGTCACCCAGCCAGAAAGTGAAGGAAGCAGAAGTTAACCCAGCTTCTCTGTCTGACTCTAGAATGCTTCATCTTTTCCACTTATTAGGTAATAGGACGGCTCTAATTAATTTATGACTTTAAAAAGAATAACCTGACCAGATAAAGTAGCTGTCAGTGCTATCAGTTGAACATTAACGTAAAATTCACGACATACAAACTGTTGGCTTTAACTACCTTCAAAGCAAATCTGCATTAATACAGCCTACAGATGAATTAGCAAGAAAAACACGCTTTTTTTAACACGCAATTTTTAAAAATAGCTAACACAGAATCCTTGTGTCTGTTTCTATTTTAAAGTGCTACTAATTAGAAGAAAATATTACCTTCGGATTGAAATGAATTCCCATTGAACCCTGAGATATGATCCAAGTCCTGGTGTATCTGAACTTCTCTTGAACCAGGCATACTATTAAAAAAAAATTTCATTATTTATGTTCTTCTGAGTAGACATTTTATAAAAAATACAAGTCGTCAAAGAAATGAATTCTAATTACAAATGGGCTTTTAAATTAAAAGCACATTATCAACTTGTTCTTTTTTGTGGACATTAAAAACATCTGTTTATTTGAGCTCGCTGGTCTAACTCAGATTAGGAGTGATGCCCTTACCTGTACGGAGCCTCATGGTACAAAAAGGACCCCGCTCAATCCTGGCAACCCTATGGGCTGGGTGTCAAAGGGACACTTTATAAAAGAGAGATTAGGCTTGGTGGGATACATATGATTTGCTGACACCACAAGCTAATACACAGTGCAACTAGGACTCACACCTCATTCTTCTGTTTCTAAACTCAGCCCCCTTTCCTTATAAAAACTCATGTAATACAGATCTTCTATAGAGACCTACGTGTTTTATTATCCTTCTTTTTTCAAGTTCACCTTTGTAAAGCTCCTTTCCTTTTCCTGTGAAATTAATAAATAGTAACAATGAAACTGTCCTCTATGGTATATAATATAGAACTCATCACTGAGAAATTTTGGATGCATTACATACAGAAAAAGATTCCATTTATTCCAGCACACAAGTTTAGCCCAATTTACAATTTCCATACCTTTGGGAAATCGCTTAATTCATTCAGACTACAAATATCCCAAAAGTAATTGCTTCAATGTGTTTAATACCCCAGTGACTGAAATGAACCAAAGGCGCTAAGTTTACCAGCATCAGTTGTTACCAACCGTGGAGTGCTGATGACACACATCTGATTTACTAGGATGGACTCTATTCTAGAATATGGATGACATTATAGAATTTTCTCAGTTTTAGAATATGAACTGAGGAATGAGTGTAAAGGGAAGATTGGTGTGACAGTATGAATTGGTTAAGGGCAGCCGCACAAAGATGGGCATGGGGATCTCCACCGGGCCTTCCGGCTTTAAGATGCTGGGTCTCCGTCTCAGACCTTAGAAGGCCAGAGGCCTGCACTGAAACTTACATACTAGGAAAACAAGGCTGGAATTCAACGCACCCTCCAAAAGTCCCCCAGCAAAGATAAAAGTCTCTAATAAATCTGCCTTTAGAATAAGGGACAGCTTTTGCATCTGTGGGAAAATAGGAATGCACTGTGTTTGAGTTGTCATTCTATCAGAATGCCTGTGAATTCATTCAAAGAAAGGTGTCATAAGAGCTACGATGTTCAAGTAATTAGCAAGAAATTTCCAAACATGAGGACAAGCATCCCACCAAACTCCTACAGCCCTCATTTATGCATGCTAAAACAAGAAATCCCATCAGGACCGAGAACCACTCAGGACCCCACGGATGGCAGACTATACAATGCAGAGCATAGAGATGAATGTCACCACTACTTTATCTTGTCCCCATCACATTATGTCAATCAATGCACCCTAATTTTTCAAAATCCAATTTACAAGTTTAGAGATCTTTTGTGCAATTCTCCAAGGACCTGAGCTACTCCCTAGAACTGTGTCAAGGACTTTGGAGAAAGTGTTCATTCTTTCTACCAATATCTATGTGTTACCCAGGAAGCCTGAAAGATCCGATAACGCAGGTTTCCCAAAATTGGCTCTGTGTCTAGGGTGTGATCTAGGCCCAGGTGGAAAGAGACTGGCTCAGCTGTAGGACTCGTACTGTAGGAAGGGAAAGGCTTCATTGCTCCAAATCAACAGGGAAACTAGAGCAAAGATAAGTGACATTTCTAGGTCTTAGAGCCCACAGACCACCCAGCGCCAGACTACGGCCTTTGGAAACTAGCCAGTGAGGTGTGTTTTTACCGCCATTCTTTGTCTGTGTTCTACAATGCATAATTATGAAACCTTGACGCAGTCTCTTACCTGGAATTTGGATGTGATTGGAATGTGGGGTAAAAACTGAAATTGTGTTCCTTGAAAATTTCCGTCCACGTCCTGTGAAATTTTTCTCTTTTACTTCTTAGATAGTTGAGAAGATCACCATAGCAACAATACTCAAAAATCAAGTAAATTGGTCCTGAAATAATGACAGTTTTAATTATAGGTACACAAATATCAAAGAATTTTTTCAGACATCTCTGTAGCAGAGAACACGCTCTATGAGAGCTCACTTCTCCTCTGACTTTGGCAGAGTACAATTTTTTCTGAGCCTATATGTTCTTATACTTTAAATTCAATTTCAGCTTTTTGCTCAAACTCCTTTGGAATGCAGTGACTTCTTGCCTTCCACTTTGGCTCTTGTTATCCATGTGGCCTCACCAATAACGCTGGCCACCTGGATTCTCACGTTTGCAACAAGTAATGATAGGTCAGCTGCATTGTGAGCTCTTGGTAATTATATGCTGATTTGTTGCTTGGCTGAGGAGGGAGAAATATATCTCCAATTTCCTCTTAGATCCATTTTCTCTTTTTCTCTTCTTTTAGTCCCAGTCCCAGTCTGGTTGTCACAGAAAGAATGACCCTTGGGCACATCATTCAGGTATTTCTAGGCAGAAGTGAGAGAATCAGAGCACACGGTCCATTGAATTCTGGGAAAGCAAAGTTTGAAATCCTCCCCTGGTTGTGCCTTATTTGAAGTAGCCCAATTGGGGCAGTGACCAAGCTTTGCAGCCATTCTCACCACTGCATGTGCCAGCTCCACAGCTGGGGGAGAAGCTCCATCTAAGTAGGTAGAGTGAGAAACCACAAAATGTGCTTGCGGAGTTGTTACTGTTGGTCAGTAGGTTAGGACTATGTGGAATATCCCAGCGAAGAGAGGCATTCTCTACACTGACCCACCTGATTATAGAGCGCTCAGTGTCTAATTCTACTTGGGCTTGAGGGCCCACATTGAGGCGGAGAAAAGACGAAGAAAATGAGAACAAATGTCCTCTTTGTCTTCAGGCTAACATATATTTCATCAGGTGTTTTCAGTGGGAATTGTTTACCTGACAGCGTGCATGCCCCCAGCAGATTCACAATATTCTCATGGTTTCCCAGGTGAGTCATCATTTTGAGTTCAGACATGAGAGCCTCTCTTTCAGAACTGTCTGCTTTTTCTGTCAATGGAAGAGCAGAAAAAATGTAAAATTAAAGTAAAATCAGTATTTTAGATTATTTAATAAGTTAAAACTTTCCTCAGTTCAGAGCGGATTTGCATAAAAATTTTAAAAATACATAAAATAATACCTGAATTTTGAATAATAATATCTTGTGTTTTAAGACAGAATTTCAAAGACTGTAGTATGAAAGTTGAATCTAATAACGTGCCTTTCTACTGGATGTTCCCCTACCTACCGAATAAAAACCCTTATAATTGACCCTCAAAAACCAAAATAAAACAAAACAAAACAATAATAACACATGATTTTCCTCCACAGTAGAAGTTAATACATATGCTGAAGGGAGAAACATACTCTTTTTTTTTTTTTTGACTCTTGCATTTACTGAAGTCATAGAGAGACAAGATAGGAATGTCAGGGAAGATGGGTGGCTCCAGTCTGTGGCCCTCATGTCTACAATCTTAAATCTGTCAGCGGATCCAGTGGTGGGGAGGTCAAAAAGGACCAATTTCCAGTAACCAAGTTCTCAAGAGACTCATTAATTGATAATGAGAAACATAATTGATGAGTAGCTAGAATGTATCCATTGGCCAATGCATTCTCTCCCCAGAGAGAAGTCTAGATAGCTTGGCAAAATGTATTCATAATCTTGCTTAGAAGCATAGCATGAGGGTCGTAATCGATGAACTCAAATGTCTCGTGTCATTGAGGCTGATGTTCCAGTTGGTCAGGGCACCCCTGCCCAGGTGGGTGCTGGAGCCCTAGAGGCAAGCACAGGGGCTTTGGACTTCCCTCTCCAGGCTCCAGGCTCCAGGCACCCAGCCCTCTGTTAAATATTCTTTCTTGCAGACATGGAAACTTTTCCTTACATTCAATGAAGAATTGATTAGATATTTCCAGGTCTCTTTATTTTGTCCTGGAAGACACTGACTTGAGTGAGCTCTCAGGTGTACCCTTATTTTCAACATCTTAGCTTGGGAGTGAGATCCTTCACTGTGTGCCCCGCGATCCACTAGCACTTCATGTCTTCTGCTGCTTCATGTTTCATAGGGATTCGTGGCTTTCACTTGTCCATGTCTTGTTCCTCATGACCAAAATAATACATTTTTATGGCATGCTTAATTTTTTCAAATCACTTTCATATACCGTCATTTGACTTTCATTCATTCACTCATTCATTCATTCATTTCTTGAGTGACTACTGTGTATGAGCCAAAGTGCCAAGCATTGGGGGAATGAATGATAGACAAGACACAACCCCTGTCTTCCTGGAGTTTAGAGTCTCCTGGAAAAGGGAGACATGTAAATAAACAATTACAATATAGTGTGATAAATGCAACATGGCAAATGAATGTAGGGGTGCTGTGGGGTCACACAAGAGGACCACCTAACCTAGCCTCAGGAGGGGTGGGGAAGGGCACACCAAATGTCTATGCTGAGACCTGAGGCAAAATAGGAGTTAACCAGGTGAATTCACAGTGAGGAGAGAGGGAGAAGAAGAACATTCCATACTGAAGAAACAGGGTGGGCAAAGACCAAGAAGAAAGAGAGTAGCACAAAACAGATACAGACGCAGCCCTCATGAGGCTTACAAACGAATGTGGCAGATAAGACATTAATTGAATAATTAAACAAATATGTAATTACAATTGTGATAAATTCTGTGGAAAAAAAAGCCCACAGACAGCTAAGGATTGCGTATAGCAGGGAACTTGATCTGGTCTGTGGTGTGAGAGAAGTCTTCCCTGAGGAAGTGATATTTAAGCTGAGATCTGAAGGAGTGGGAGATGACTACGTGAAAGGGGAAGGGTAAGCAGAAGGATCAGCCTGTGCAAAGGCCCTGAGATGGGAGGGAGCATGCTGCTCTGGAGGAACTGAAAGGAGGCCAGCGTGCTGCTGTGTAGAGAGTGCAAGGTGGAGACGCGAGCAGCAGCTCCATCATGCAGGACTGTGTAGACGATTTCAAGAGTAATTGAAAGCAAGTGGAAATGCTAAGCAGGAAAATGATATGCTCTGCTTTGCATTTCCATAACCATCACTTATGCTTCAGTATAGAGAATCCAAAGGTTATTGCAGCCATTAGGAAGAGATGGACGTGGACTAGGGTGGTAGTAATAGAGAAAAGAGAGAAGAGGATGAACTCAAGAGACAATAAGCAGGAAACCTCATAGGAACAGTTTACGGCGTGTTAAAATGAGGTCGGCTTCAAGGACGAGTCCAAGGTTTCTGGTTTGCCCGATTGTGTAGAATGTGGCTTTTTTAGTCTTTGGCACTCGTAACCAATCACTGAGAGAGGGAGCACTGAGGGAGGATCCAGGTTGGAGGAGTCAATCTGGATAAACTGAATTAAAGGGACTTTTGAGATATCCAAGCATTTGGACATAGGAACCTGAAGCTCAGAAGGGAGACACAATCATGAGAACCAGTGGTACATAGGGTGAAGTCACAGGTGTGGTTGGGATAACCTATGATGAACATGTGGAGTAAAAATGGAAGGAGGCCCAGGAGCAAGCCTTTAGGAACTCCACATAAATAGCTGGGTTGAAGATGACAAACCAGCAGACGACTGTGAAGCAGGCAGAGAGACAGAAGGAAAACCAGGAGAATATGGTAACATGGAAACCAACAGAAGAAAGCATTTAAAGATGGAGAGAATAGTCAATCATGCTAATTTACGGTGAAAATTCAAGTAACATGAGGACTGAGAAACGCCTATTAGACTTAGTTTGTTGGTGATCAGTGACTTCCAAGAGCTGGAGGTGTTCTTGCTCAGTGAGTGATGCTAGGGGGAGGGATGGCAGGGGATGCCAGATGGAAGTAGATAGAGCAATGAGTGGGAAGTGATACAGAGGGCTCCAATTTGCTCTTCTACCCAGAGTCTGTATCAAAATGTAAGAAACAACATCTACCTGTAGCAACAGTATCCCCAAATACTGAAGCCAAAAAAAAAACTAAACAAAAAGAGAAGAGGAAGAAGAAGTGTTTTGTATTCATGACTTGTATTTTGTATTCATAATTTGGTTGACACTAACCCCAACTCACTCCCTTTTTAGCCTTGAAACACAGCAAGCAGTGAGCACAAAAATGATGGAAAAGAGAAGAGGGGGAGGTAGGAGACTGCGCCTCCCATCTTTGTGCCTCTTTGTGGCTACTGTTCCACTTTACTGTACCTTTCAGCATTTTGACTGCAACCTGGATTGACACCCCTGTTTTACTAATTCCATAAGCTGTTGCATTCATCACTTTTCCAAAAGCACCCGATCCTAGCACCTTCCCTGCAAGAGAAATGGTGAGTGAGTGCATGTCAAAGATTTTCCAACAGAATGGAAATGCTACAGAAACATTTAGAACATTCTGTTCTTACCAAATTCTAAATTTTCTCTTGGAAACTCCCATTTGAGATCATATTCATATTCTCTGAAATCAATGTAGAAGTACTCATTATCCAAAGAACCAGTCACCTGTACCATTTGCAGCTGGCTTTCATACCTAAATTGCTTCAGAGATGAAATAATGTCAATTAGCAACAGGTAGTTCTTCAGAATTAGGAAACGACGGTGAATTGTTATCTTTGTTTTTACCTTTTTGTACTTGTGACAAATCAGCATGGTTAAAATGGCAATGAAGGGAAGACAAATCCCAATTGTTGCATAGAAGATGTTGTCCTGGATGAAAGGGAAGGTGCCTGCAAGGAAAGAGAGTCACTGAGCGATGAGTTAGAATTCCTGGCTGATATTATATTCAATTACCTCACATCCTGTTTGAGTAACCATTATTTGCAGCCCTTACAAGCACTCTACAAATACGCTACTCCCCACAGAAAATCAGGCAATGTTCACATAAAGGACAAGTTTCCTTCCTAGAAAATTTTGAGTGATTCCAAAACCATTTTTAAAAATAATTTACTAGGGTTATAAGAATTACATCTATTTAAACCCACAGGACGCACAAATTAGATAAAGAAGGTTCTGTTTCCCCTGTGAAGATATCATATGAATGTGGAGAAGTTTATTTTGGGATGCTGGTGATTCTAAACTATTAGTGTAAGTGGCCAGGTTTCAGAATTGTTTAACTTAGGACGGCTCTAAGAAACAAACTACAAATTATAAAACAGCAGGCTAAAGGCAAATAAGGAGATTAAGCAAAAAGGGAAATGACAGAAACTCCAGATTTACTAAATCTATTTCTCTAGAGTTGGATGTTACAGTAGGTATTCACTGCACTGCGAGTTTAGGGTTCTACCTACGTCGCTCAAACCCGTGAGTCATAAGAACCTAAATAGAAGTCACTCTGCTCCTGAACTCCAAAACAGTATAGATTCAGTGGGGATTCTTGCCTGACTCAAAAAGCCTTCTTGTCTCACACACTGAACCTATACACCCTTGTAAAATTCCCCAAACAAAAGCCAACGGCAGGGACTAACAGCTAGTGGGGAATTCCTGAAGGGGGTGCATTGCAACAGCAATTGCTGTATACCTGGTGAGTTTAAAAGGATTGTTTCACAAGATGTGCCAAGGGAATTGTATGCACAGCACTTCACCAGGAACCCTTTTATGGCCTCACTCATGTTGAGAGTACTGCTCGAGACCCACTTTCCAAACACTTTTCTGTTAGCCTTTTTATTCCAAATTCCTTCTGTGATTTCTTCTGTGCAGCTGAAAGGAAATGGCAGACAGAGAGGTTAGATAGGTGGGGCTGTCATCAGATGGGAAGTTAGGGTTTCTCTAGTGAACTCTTAAAGACCCTAATCTATTACAAGTTATCAGAAACAATCTATGACCATTTAGAATTATGGTTGACTCAGAGGGAAGCATTTTAAATATTTCATCATTTCTCCTTAAACTGGCTTCATGGGAAAGAGTCAATACGCCACAGTGTGAGTTTTGTGCTCTTCCAATCCAAAAGACACCAACGCCCTTATTACTTCAGAGACTTGTCTGAGCACTTCTTCCAGGTCCACGATGGTAATGGGTATCCATCGGAGGAGCAAGAAGCCTGACTTGCTGACGCCTCGGCTAGCACTTGAGGTTTCCCTGAAGAGAACAATGTGAAAAATAAGCTCATGTTGTATGGTACTTTCCAGAAATGGTTTCAAAGCTGGCTTCATATAGGCTGCCATTCACTGTAACCAGTTTGTGCTTCTGGGAGGGTCTCATGCAGGATGACTCAAGATCTTTGGTTTTTCCCTCTTTCCCGCCTGTGTTGTAAACTTCTGTACCAGCTGCCCTGCCACCTATCTGTGCAACTCCACTGTCCCACTGCTAGCCTTCTCCTTTAGAGAGCTGTGGTGTGGGTCTCTATTTACCTACACACCCCAAAATTATTCTTAGCTCAAGAAGTACCTGCAAAAAGTCCAATGAAGTGTGCACTCATCTTTTTATACACCACAGAAACAAAAATTATTAAGACAAATAAGTGGCAGGTACTATGATTTTCAGCCTTTCCTTAACACAATCCTTCAAAATACTAAAGTTAAAAAAAAAAATCACAATGCTAAAGCATATTCAGAGAGGACATGGAATTCTTAGCCTCAAAGGATGAACACAGAAAAATATATATATAAACAAAGCCAATAGACATGAAAGTAAAATCTCATAACACTTCAGCATATAAAAACAGTTTTATAGCATTCCTTCTAAGCCATTACTTAGCTCTTTCTGGTCATAGTTAATAAATAATTAAGTAGTTATGAGAATAAAATTAAACTTCTTGACAATTTAACTTACTTCTTATATTCAGTGTGAACATTTTTGTGAACTGGGCGTCATCATTTTCTGCATGGAATACATATTCTCCTGGCTGGTGTTTGTGGTTGCAAAACTTAGATATGCTGTTTGAAAAAGAATTAAAGATAGGCTTAGCAAGATTCTTAGAGGAGACGCTGAAATGAATGACAGTGTGTGTGGGAGGAGTCTTCCTTGAGACATTCACTCCCTAATGTTCAAGGGACAAGAGGTGTCTGTATGCTAGGCCCTTGCTACTCAAAGTGTGGTCCACGGACAGGCAGCATCAGCAATGGCATTCTCTGCGAGCTTGTTAGAAACACAAAAGCTCAGGCCCCACCCCAAACCTACTGACTCAGAGTCAGCATTTAAGATGATCTCCACGTAATTCACACGCACATTAAAGGTTGAGAAGCACTGATCTAGTCTGGGGCTCCTCGAAGTTTCCTGTCCCTACTGTTCTATACATTCTGGATTAGTCTGACTTCCCAGAACCACAGAAGAACCTCTGTAGGTGGAGGAGCCCATAACTCCCCTGCTTCCTGAAAGGAGGGCTCTCTGACGTTGGTCCGAGGCAGGACCTATGACCACCCTTGACTTACACTGCAATTACCAATGACGAGGGTTCAAATCCACTGAGTTTGTACAGAAATATTTGGGTGGTCTCAGCATGCTCTAGTAGTTACTTGGAGTGGTCATCAGCCACTCAATACATTTTGACATGAATAACTTGATATTGGGGATTATCCACTGTGCCTACCAAGTATATGGGATGCTGGATATTGTAGTGGGATGTTGGATAGTGTAGGAGAGGTAGGGGAGCAAGGAGCTGTGGAATACACCCTCATGTATTGAAGAAATAGAAAAAAAATTCCTTGGAATAAGAATAAGAAAATCTAAGGTGTGTTCTGAAAATATTTAATTAGGCCATCTCTGTATAACCTACTTAAAGTAAAAAAAAACCCAAAAAACAAAAGACTATATATGGGCAGGGTAGAAATGTAAACAGGAGGACCTGGAGTGGAAGCCAGCCTTAAACTAGGAGCTACGTAGGATGCAAAACACCTATAATATGTGGCTGCTGCCCTCAGAGATATAATCCAGGTCAGGGGACAAAACCTACATAAGTAGAATAGTGAAAGTATTAAACTGAAGGCCAATAGAAGATGAAAGAAGGCAGGGGCCAGGGTAAGTGGGAAAAGTTCAGAGGGCTTCATAGAAGCAGGACTTGAGTGAGGTCTTTGCAGGATGAGTTGGTTTTAATGAGAAGGCAAAAGAAAAGATAGCCAAGGAGGAGGCAACAGCGTGACTTAAGACACAGGCAGGAATTCCTAAGCTCACAAAGGAGAGGAATGGAGAAGCCTCTTGCCTGGAGCAGCGTGTCTATGGGGTGTAGTAGAACAGAGGGCTCAACACGTAGGGTGGGTCCACTGACCAGGGGCCTAATTATTTAGGCCTGAAGGAGAAAGCAGAAACAAGAGGCTGTGGGTTCCTGAGCAGGAGAGAATACCATGAACAGTATTCTAGTTTAGAGTGATGGCAGCAGGAAAAGTTTATTGAAGAAAAGCCTGGAGGCAGTTATTGTAGTAACCCAGGAATTCATTCATTCATTCATTCATTTCATTCACTCATTCTGTTGTCAATGGTAGAGCCTATTTGTGGAGGAATCAGGAATACAACAGTGAGTTAGGAAAATTAGATTTCTGTTCTCACAGAATTTACAGTTTGGTCGTGAAGGCAGGCAAGTAAGTAACACTCACAGTATAATGTGGGAAGTCCTATGAGAGGAGAAGTAAATGTTCAGACTTGAGAGTTCAGAGTGTGAAAAGACAAGCGTTGTCTAAGGTAGGGAAAATGGGAAAGGAGAGGAGAGAGCAAACCCAAGAAGCACCAGGAAAAACGAAACAGCAGGTGCTGGATTGGATATGGAAGATGAGGGAGAGAATAGAATCCCAATTGATCCCTAAGATTCAAAACACACACCTAGCAACTGACAGAACAACTTTTGAGCCCATGTTTATCTGACACCAACGTTCTTTGCCCTTAACTCTGAAGCTAAAAGGCAATTCTGAGTATGTAAAGTGACGCGAGAATTTATTTCTCTGACCTATCAAGAGAGCATTTAACAAGCTTTATGTTTGCTTCATTAACAAGAAGTCTGAAGAAGTAAAAAGAGGAATTTCTTATCCTGACCTACTTCTGGACAACAAGAAGGAAATGGTTGGTTAAGCGGAAGTGATGCAAAGATTGGGGAAAGCCAAATTATAACCTAGGAAGAAAAGTAAATACAGCTACGTGCGATTTCCAGAGTTTAGGAAGGCAGCATTTAAGTGGTCCAAGAAGAGAAAGATGTGAGCTTCTAAAAGGGAAAATGTAATTCTCACAGGACAATAGCAAAGACCCTGAAAAGGAAGAAGAGAGGAGATAGAAAAGAAGCCAGTGTGGCTAGCCAAGGACCATGCCAAAAGCACCTATCAATTTGATAGAAAAAAGAAATTCCCAGTACAACTACTGACTCTTAGGCACCAAAGCAAAATGTTTTGTAAACTTTTTCCCTCCTAAGTTTCGTGTGCTGCCTTAATGGAGTAGGATCTGCCAGGGTTTAGACAGGATGGCATCTGAAATGTTCTCAGTCTTCCAGATGGGAGATGGGTCCCATAAGTAGACTGAACACATAAGTGAATATCCAGGTCATTTTAAACAGGTCGTCCCCTTGTTTGTGACAGTCACCCCTAGCAAATAGCAACTGCATCGCTGAAAGGCCTCTGGAAATTCCAAGGGGACTAACCAATTAGGTGACTGGGAGATTCAAAGCTTCCTCTTTCCCCTAGGGTTTTTCTAAAAAGGGCAAGCTGGCATGAGACAAGACATCAGGAAATTGGAGTTTACAGTGAAATAACATCTTGGTGACAAAGAAGATGTATTCTCATTACAACTCTGAAAAGAGTTTTCTCCTCTGTATAATCAAAATGCAGGTCATTTTTATTGTCCATTTAGTGCCTGGATGGGAGGAGGTGGGAAAGGGCAGGCTCCTTCCAGTGGCTCGGGGAGTAATTTTACACCATAAGTAAAGAATGCTTTATTCAAAGAGCAAGGGATCATCAAAGTCAAATCAGAATGCAGAGAGTAATCAAGCATGTCCTGGGGATGCTGAGAGCTCCCAAAGCTGGAGAGCAGAGCTGACTAGACTGAGGTGCTCTAGGCAGGACCGACAGTCACCCCCTGGGGAAGCTGGCCATCCTATCTCCCTCAGCCTGCAGTTTCGATGGGGCAGAGAGGAACACAGCCCGGCTCAAGCTGAATCTGATCTGTTCAAATTTCTGCCCTGAATGAGATAAAGATAGTCGGGGGGCGGGAGAGAGATGCTGATGATTTTATATTACTCTATATAAAACCATGCTCATTTTTCTTTTATTCCAGGGGAGCTGACAAGCCTGGGGGAGGGTGACCATTAGAAACTCAATAGCAAAGTGTGGCACTCTCCTCAGGAGGCACACTTTTACTTTTAAATAACCGAACAGCATGCTTGTATTTTGTTTCTTCATACACTGTGTTTGAGAATCTCACACTTCTGAAATGAGTGGGTGTCAAGGGGCAGTACAACAGTGTGGTTAAAAACACAGGCTTTGCAGCCAACTGTTTTTGCTGGAATCCCAACTCTGCCATTGCTCAGTGGTGTGACCTTGGGCAAGTCATTAAAGCTCTCTGTACCTCAGTTTCCTTATCTTTAAAATGAAGATAGTAATAGTATCTACCTCATATGGTTGTTGGAGGAGAACTCGGTGTTAAGTTTTTATTAAAGCAATTTTGTAAAAGTGTCTATAATAGTGCCTAGCATGTAGTAAACACAATCTATGTGTTAGATTATCACTACTATGAGGCTTAGTAAGTCTGGTAGACATTTTGAAAAAAGACATTTAGAAGCTTTACTCTGGGGTATACAGTAAGTGGGAAAATCACTTTCAAATAAAAAAGAAAGATGCAAAGGAAAAAAGCTAAAGTAAATGCTTATCAATAGGAGCTAGGTGAAATACAGTTTTCTAAAAAGTGGAATACTATACAGCCACTAAAATGATAATGTAAATAATGTAAGATATAATACTATACTTATTAACATAGACAGAAATGACATTTTTAAATGAAAAATCAGGTTACAAATGGCATAGTGCGTTTCTTGTTTGTAAAAAAATCTATATTTATATGTTTCTATCATGGTGGTTACATAGAAAAAGTCTGAAACATAACCTCTAGAGGTGGAATTATGGGTGTTATTTCTTTTTTTTTTAAGGCAATTTCAGAAAACAGGAGTGAATGAAGGGAATTGACCTTGTCCGAAGTGATTGGGCAAGTAACAGCCTGTTTCCATATTTCACAAAAGGGGATTCTGAGGAATAACTGAGGTAATCCATATAAAGGACTTTGCACTTTGTCTGGCACATGGTAAGAGCTCAAAGAAGTTTCTCTGATTCTCAGTGAGTGGCCTCATACGATGTGGTTAATACCTTACAACTGAGGGGGGCCGGATGTGGCTGGGGGCTCCAGGTACTTCACTCTATCCAAACATCTTTTCCCTCCTTTCTGTATACGGACGCTCCAGGCTCATCTCCTTCAGAAAAAAAACCCATCCTCCCAGAGAGGCTCAATACGCTTCATTGATCTGACAGCCTGCGTTTCTGTTTGTCTGTCCCTGAGAAGGACCCGCCTCACCACCCAGAGCCCAGATGACCACCACACTGCCGCTTACCAGAAAGTGCTCAGTTAATACCCCTATGAGCAGAACTTAGACTCACAGATTTGGGAAATTAAATATTTCAGGGAAAAGGAAAACACAAGGATTGGGCAAGCCTAAGGAGAGTCTTTCAGAAGAAATTGCTAATAATTATAACATTTTCATAAGTTGTTTTTTTTTGTTTTTTACCATGAAACTGGGAAAAGCTAAGGTAGATTTGGTGTTTATAATTAAGTCTATAGAGATGGGAAATTACGGAAACTAACAGATGAAATATCCTAGAACCTTTTCTCAAGACCAGGATATCAGGACTGCTGGAAAGTTATAATTTAATAAAATGCAAACACATAAAGGCAAGCCCTAATAAACTTTGGTGTAATATTTGAGGAAGTAAATTGGAGAAATGAAGCTGAGAAGGTGGGGAAGCTGAAAGACTTCTGGCACACACATCATGACCGCACTAAAGCTTTTTCAGGAGTAGAGTTATAACACAGACCTTTCAGTTATACGTAAAAAACTCATGTCACACTTATAAAGTCATCTCTGGCAACATGATTAAAATACTGTACTTCACATGCCACAACTAGAAGGACCCACAACTAAAAAAAATATATACAACTATGTACTGGGGGGATTTGGGGAGAAAAAAAAAAGCAGAAAGAAAAAGAAGATTGGCAACAGTTGTTAGCTCAGGTACCAATCTTTTAAAAAAAATACTGTACTTCACAAAACAAATTCAGTTCGGTTAAATTATTGAGTCTAGGTGGTGGGTAAAGGATGCTCACTGTCGCAGCCCTTCAGATAATTAGTAAGTTTGAAACTTTTTATAATAAAAAGTTGAAAAGAACTCAGATTATAATTTAATCTGTCCCCTCATCTCAACAGAGCCTCCTGTGGAGAGCAAAAGACATTTAGAGCGTCCAGAGGTGTGCTCAAATTTTTCATTGTTCATTTTTTGTTCAATATTTTGAGGCTTTTTTCATGAAGAAGGAGACTCCATCTTCCCTTTGCACTGTATATCAAGTGGCTCATCACACCTGGTGTAGCATTGTTACCAACAAACATTGTAGTTCTCCAAGAACTTTTTAAAAAAAATCAACACTGGGTGTTGGATGTTGCGGTAAGTGCCTCGTGTGTGGTCCTTGCAGTGCAAAGAAGATACCATTGACTCATCTCAGGCCCAGGCTATGCACTTTGAGTTGCTTTCGAGGGGTGATGATGAATTCATTCATTTATTAACACCTGTTGACTGAACGAGGCATTGTACAAAAACAGAGAAATGACGGAGAGCCTATCCTTATAGCGCTTGCAAACTCACTGGTGAGATTCAACACAGAAAGAGGTTAACTACATTACCAGGTAATTACAGATGACAGAGGTACAAAACACTACAGGAATCAGGACCTTCCCTGATTTATTCATTTGGCTACCTCTATAGGATAACTACCTGGGGTCAGGGGTGCAGATTGTGGCCATGGAATGAAACCAAATTAACTAGCCCACTAGATTGGCCCATGACCCATATATCAGAGACATGGTCCTCTAATCAGTAATTCTGTAAGATCTAATGTCAAGAAGTTGTGCCAGATGTCATCAGCACTGTAGTAATGATCTCCCGAGTGGCCTCCGGCACTTAAACGTGCCTGTGTAAATTAGGGGGGCTTGGGGTAGGAGATATTACCTTATTCACTGTTATAGCCCCTCACAGTATCAAACTGATCAAGAAGACATTAAAGAAATATCTGTTGAACTAAATTGAACTGATCCTCTATCTCTTTGAATCAGCTTCAAAAGAGAATCCCATAGTGTTAGGAGCTTCTCTGACACTGGGTCACAATACAAAGGAGGGAGGGGATCCTTCTCAACACAGGCCTGTGGTAGTCAGTTCAACCAGGCAGACAGGGCTGACTCCCTGGCCATCTGCTTTCAAAAGGTTGATGGTTCAGAATAAGGGCTTATGACAATGGAGTGATCCCTCTAAGGCAGTGGTTCTCAACCATAGGCAATTTTTCCTCACCAGGGGACGTTCGGCAGTGTCTGGAGATATTTTTGGTTGTCACAATGGGGGTGGTGGTGCTACTGACCTCCAGTGGGTGGAGGCCAGGGATGCTGCTAAACATCCTACAATGCGTAGGAGAGCCCCCAGAACAAAGAATTATCCAGCCCAAGATGTCAATAGTGCTGCTGTTGACAAACCCTGAGTTAGCGGAGTGTGTATCACTCATAGTCAGCTCACAGACCAAAGGCTGCATTCTTAATGACCTGAAAAACGAATGCTTCCAACATTAGGAGGTTTGGGTGGAAGAGGAAAGAAGGTTCCTTGCAAACTGCGCTACAACAGTCTTTTAAAATGCAAACGAGGATCAGTTACAAATCACTTTCGGGTATGAAGGAGGCTGCATTAATCATGAAACAAACACTGAAAAGAATCAAAGTGAAAAAAGTTTAACTCTTATTCTTCACCTAGACAGTGCTATCCAATAGAAATATAATGCAAAATTAAATTTCCAGCTAGCTACATAAGAAAAGTAAAAAGAAGCAAGAAGTAGTAATAGGCTTTAACTCAATATATCCAAAATACTATCATTTTAATATATAATCAATATAAAAATTATTAATGATATATTTTACCTTTTTTTTCCATGTAATTCTTCAAAATCTAGTGTGTATTTTACATTTACAGCACATCTCAATTTGGACCAGCCATCTTTCAAGTTCTCAGTAGCCATATATGGCGGGTAGCTACAGCATTGCACAGCACAGATATAGACCTGTGATAGGCATTTTCTCATGAAAAATGCAAAATCTGGGCATTTTGCCTCAATTTTGGTTCAGCATGTCTGAAATTTGCCCAGATGATGCCTATATAGTTGGTTTATGAACCACGTGTTGAGAAACAATGATTTATTCTAGACTATTGACTTGCTTGAGAGATGACAAGTACCTCCGAGTCCCTCATGGTCTAGGCTGAAACTTTGTTACATAGGATTAGTTTGAAGAGATAAGAGGTGTCATAGCCATAGAAAATACAAGAAAAAAGTCGTTTTTTGTTTTCCAATACACTTTGAAGGGAATGCAGACTTTCTCCCATAAGAGAACCTTGAGGACAGTTGTACAAATCACCAGGAAAATGAAATTTTCCTTCAGCACTTATTATTGGGCTATTTCTGTATCTACTTTTTGAAAATTTAAGTCAATACACCTATAGATAATGTTTTCCTGTCTTAAGGGGTTTTACTTCCTCAGTCATCTGCAATGTGCTCAAGGAGACTCAGCGTGCTATGCACGTCCCCTCAATCAGGAAGGAACAGGGTGGTGACTCAGAAAACGCCACAGAACCAAACTCAAACTAACACAATTCTTTCTGTTTTTTCGTGCAGTGGGTTACACTATCTGAACTGATTATAACACTGTCACTGTGTCCTCACATCTGCTGTTTGTCTCCTCATCTTCAATGTCAACTCAATAATATGTAAACCCATAATACAAAACTGCTCTTCTCGAGCGCAACGGGAAGAGTCGCGCTATGTATGCTGGTGAGGCCCAGGGCTCTTTGCTGTCTCACCTGTACCCGTCGTCGAGGCCAGTTTGCTCACAAGGAAATGATTTTTGAGAGAAGGTCCACGTACATCTGATTTGTGGGTATGCTTTAAACCTGACAGAAAAGCAAAACTCTTCATACTGGTCAATTTCATAATTTTCACTTGATTTGGAAGCATTTATAAATCCTTTTTCTGTAAAAAAAAAAAATAAGAAAAAAGCACTTATAAATTATATAATGAGATTCATATGGAAATATATTGAGAAGATAAATAAACTTTTATTCATCAGTTTATCACAAGAAAACTCAGATGTGGGCATGCCGCAGGTCGGATCCGATAGTCCAACAAGGAATACAGGAGTCCTGCCCCCAGCCATAAGCCTGAGCTCATCACCTTCTGGAGTCAAGCTTCCGCTAGGAAATGGATGTAAATAATTGACTGTCCTCCAAAGAAATGTATAAATAAACCTACCAACTTTGCAAACAATTTCAAGAGACTGAAGGGCTCCCCCCGCCTGGCCAACCATGAACGCAGTAGGGGTCCAGTGACAGAGTCTGGAAGCCCCTGTTCTCAGCCAGAACACCTCTTGTGACACATCCAACATAAAACCATCCAGGGCACAAATAAAAGAACAATCTAGCCAGCAATATTCAGGACTTCCTTATAGTCCACTTCCTTATTAGTTTGATAAGAGAATCACTTCATTTCATTTCAGAATCATTTCATTTAGCCTTTTCATTATGGCTGAAGGCTACCACCTATCTGAGATTATTAAAGCCTGGTTATTTTCAGATCCTTCGTGGTCCACCCAAATTCCAGTGCATGCAAGTGCTTGTCTGTTTCTCTCGATCATTGCTCACTGCCCCCTCTCAGTTAGTTCTAGAACAAGTATTTATTAAGAGCCTATTTTGTGTCAGGCTCTCTGCTGGCTTCTGGGACTACAAGGATAGAAAGGGTTATCCTCGTCCTTGGGAAACTTACAGTCTATGGAAAGACAAAAATGCACGAACAGATGGTCACATTACAATGTGGTCAGTGTAAAGACAGTGGCATTCCAGGGGGCACGGTTTAACTGGAAAAGGAAGGAGCGGGCAGCCGCTATTTGAAAAGCTATTCTAACTCAGCTTCTCTCTCAGTTTCTTGATACTAGCATTATACTGAAACCAGAATTTGCAGTACATACTTCCCATTCGACAGGAAAGCAACTAAAAACGTGAATAAAGATCACATGGGCAGCCCACATTACCTAGGATGGTGACCAAAGCTGATTTACTGGGATGCTTCGAGGAGGAACAAGTGTAATATCCAGTGTCGTTTCTTCCCACTGATGACACAAAAGCAAACAGAATCCGTATCATAGTCCTGTTTGTGGAATAGGTGCTCATCTCAAAGTAGCTGCCCTAGATTTTAACAGAACAGAGTTGGAATTTAATGATTTCAACCTGCACTCTTAGCTCCTTGTTCCTGCATTTTCAGAATGCAGACTCTCCATATTACCTCCTCCAGTGCTCTATGCTCCAGCTCCCAGGTGAGCCCGAATCCATGATTTACGTGAACAGCTTTGCATCTTATCCAGAGGGGTTCCCCTACTTTAAGAAATAATTGTGGCAGTGTGGTCTGAGGAGTTTGATTTAGATCTAGAAGATGAAAACATCCTGAGTCAGAAAAAAACACGATTTTTCCTCATCACAAAATATATCCTGAACACTCTGAAGAACAAAGCTTTTAACATCATCTCAAATGTTACGAACCACTTTAATAAAAGAATCTTTTAGAGATTTCCTGCTCTTTTATGAAGAAATCATCAGTTACAGAATCCATAATATTACATTTAAAACGGTATAAAGAAATTATGGAATTTCTGAAGTTGAATGATTACCTAAGCAGTCGCGATTAGTCCCAGATCGTGTCTAAGGGATTGTCACTGAAAACAGAAGGACATAATATCATGGTCTTACCTATTGTGAAGAGCTTGGTGCATTCCCTGCCCAGCTCATTTCTTGCACAGCACCTTATGTCTGTTCCAAATAATTCATGAAGTACGCTTTCCTCCTTTCTAACAACAGCTGGACTCTCTCCTTTACAGCTGCAATGAGAAAACAAATGTCATTTGACTAAACATGTTTTAAAATTACAAATGAATGCTCAGGACAAGAACAAAGTTACAGGTTCTAGAGCCTGTTTTAAGCCTGTTTAAGAGTGCCGAGACAGAGGCAGGTCAAAAGGTTAACAAACCCCAGTCTATGGTTTTGGCAGAGTTCATAAGGGAACTAGTTAGTTTCTCGTTATCTCAATCAATTAGAGTAACATGAGAGAACTACATAATAAAACAGTTTAAAAGTTTTTGTGTTTGGTGACCTCTTTTTTAGTTGTTGTTTAAAGAGAGAGAAGAAAAGGAGAGTTGAGAAAGAAGACAGAGGAGACAGAAGAGGGGAGAGAAAAGGAAGGCATGATTAGGTTTTAATACAGCTTAACTCTGTGGGTATCCTGAAGCACGGAAGAGGACTACCAGTGAGAGGGAGAGGCTCAAGTTGCAAAAGTCACCAGAGTCCCCAGGGCTAAGAGAGGACAGCCGCGTTGTCACTCGTGAGGGCGGTCGGCCACATCTCGGGATTTGCCCGCACACCCTCCCCTCGCCCCGCCTCAGCAGAAAACGGACCTTGACACTCCTGAGAGCTCCCTGACCAGGACCTCTCCCAAAGCAGACTCTGCTCTGGGAGTCTCAGTAGAGCCACTTTTCTCCTCTTTATCAGTTTATGCGAGTGTATGCTTTTCTTTGTTCAGGTGTCTTCCTTGAGATTTTTTCCCTTATTATAAGACAATAATAATTGGGTTCATTGCAGGAATTTTTGAAAATAGAAAAAACATCCAAGAAAAGAACTTTTAAAATTTTTAAATTAAAATTAAAATTTTAAATTGCCCATGTTCCTACCACCCTGAGATACAAACTGCTATTATTTTGGTGTGTAGCTTTCCAATCTTCTTTTTCTGTGCACATGTTACATATATACCTACAGGTAATCTCTTTTTCTTTTTCCTCTAAAATTTGAGATCACGAATTCATATCACTTGGTAACCTGATTTTTTACTTTTTCTCCTTCTATTTAGTCCCATTTTTTGATAAAAGTTGTTTAGTAAATTTTAACTAGTTCAAACTGCCTAAATTCTTACTTTATGAGAACTTTGCTATGACACATATAAAAGACAGAGTAAACATCATATGGCACTTCCTATCTGCCAGGCACTGCTCTCTGTGCTTCACATTCTGTAATCCACTTCATCCTCATAGCACTCCTGTAAGGAGGCAGTTAATATCCACATTCTTCTGATGAGGCAGGAGAGGTTAAGTAACCTGCCCAAGGCCACACAGGTAGTAAGCAAACCAGGGTTCGAATTGGGCTAGATTCTACATCTTTAAACAACCATATTAAACTGTTTTTCCAGAATAAACAGAATAATGACAAATTATTCACAGGGAATCTCTTACTTATGGGAATTATACACTAAAATCAGTACCTTTCTGGTTCCTCAACAAGATGCTCCGGGAGCCAACAATTCTGTAACTTAAAAGGGCTTTCCTTTGTGTGGTGTAATGTCCAGGGAGGACCCTGCAGTCAAGTGACGTGAGTCATTTGAGGAGTTCCACAAGACGCCCTTCTAAAACATCCCCCTTACCCTCCCTGAGAAGTCCATACTCTCTCTTTAAGGAGCCAAAGTTTCCTGTTAAAATGGTAATAAATTAAATTGTACATACAGCGTCTATAGGTAACCTCTTTTTCTTTTTCCTCTAAAATTTGGGACCACATTCCTATCATTTGGTAACCTGATGTCAACTATATTAGAAAAAGACCAAAAAAAGTAAAGTAATAGCAGTTATCTTTATACGTGTCATACCTGTCACTCTGTGAATCGCAAAACACCCATTCCACGATTGGTTCTGGAATGCTCTCAGATACGCAGACCAGGGCGTCCTGATTCTCCATTTTTCTAAAGTAAGGTCTCCTTAATGTGTAAAGCAGTGTATCTAAAGCATCATAAATTATTAACATTTTAATATTTGAAAAATAATTGTCTTAGCAGCCCCCTCAAAAAAAGAATCCTACATCATTAAGAAAAGTTAGTATTTTATACCATAGCAGTGTCTTCTGCTCTTCTCCAAATATATATAATAATATATCTTCTCCTCACCAGAATATTAAATTTAACACTGGCTGAAGTGCCAACTTTAGCATTTATCCTTGTAGCCAATTTCTTTGGGTATTTCGTAAATCCACAGACAACTAAAGTAAGCGGAGTGAGGCCATGTAAAAATACAAATATCGATATGCATAAGAGAAAGAAAACTAGAAATAATATAAAGTTTAAAACTCATACAGTTTAACAGCCAACTTTCTTCCCATAATTTTATTTAGAACTAGGCAGAAATATACTGATCTAGAAATGTAGAAATATAGTAGGATCGAGTTAGAATTGGAACCGAATTTAGAGGTTTAGCTTAGCCTCCCATTCACGTGGGACCAACACACTTTGCCCCTCACCCCACAATGCTTAACATACAAACTCTCTTCCTGCTTCTGTGTGGACCCCTCTAGGGACAGGCGTTCACTACCTCCCAGGGTAAATTGTTCCATTTTTCAACAAACCATTTCTTTTAAAGGAAAGTTTCCCTCTACTGAATTCCAATCTCCCTCCTTATAATAAATTTTGTTTAAAAATATTATGTAATTCTTTATACATACACACACACACACACACGTATACACAAAAGTATATATGAAGTGTAAATTTTGAAGCATAAGAATAAAAAGGAATACCCATGGACCTATACCCAACTTAATAACCAGAATATTAATAAATACCTTTGGAATCTACTTTTGTGCTTCTTCTCATCTCTCAACTCTACGTAACTTTTATCTTGAATTTTGTGCTTATCATTCCTGTGCTTGTATTTATTTATTTTGGCAAGGAAGATTGGCCCTGAGCAAACACCTGTGCCAATCTTCCTCTGTTTGGTAGGTGGGACACTGCCACAGCATGGCTTGACCAGCAGTGTGTAGGTGCGCGCCCAGGATCTGAACCTGCAAACCCTGGGCCACCAAAGCGGAGTGCACGAACCTAACCACTACACCGTCAGGCCAGCCCCTTTCTCTGCTTTTAAAAATGTTTTCACCACAGAGATGTGTGGACCTAAACAATATATTGATTTGTTTTGTTTGTTTTTGAGCTTCAACATATGGTCTCATTCAATATGTAGTCTTGCATAATTTCATTTTTTCATCCAACCTCATGTTTTTAAGACTCATTCATGGTTTTGCATGTAGCTATACTTCATTCATTTTTTTACTGCTATATAGTATTCCATTGGTGAATATATCACAATCTTATTATTCCATTTTCTCGCAGTGGACATTTGGGTTGTTTCCAGCTTTTTATATTACCAACAATGGTGCTATGAACATTTTGTACATTTCTAATGAGGTAGGTATGTAAGTTTCTTTAATACTACACCTAGTAGTGAAATTGATGATTTATATGATATGAGCACGTTCAGCTTTACACATAATGACTATCTGTTTTCCAAAGTGATTATAAGAATTTCCACTTACACAGCAGGCAGACATTCACCATTGCTCTATATACTCACCGAGACTTCTTAATTCTCAACAATCTTGTGGGTATAAATGGTATCTTGTTGTGGTCTTAATTTGCATTTTTCAATTATTAATTTAATATGTTTATGGACCATTTTTAGGTTTCATGCTCTGAAAGTGAAATGTCCACTCATGTCTTCTGTTCATTTTTCTACTGCTTTTTTTTTCTTATATATTTATGGAAGCTCTTTACCTACTATGACTATTAGTCTTTTGTTGATTATGTGAATTGCAAATATCTTTTCCCACTTTTCTGGTGGTTTTTACTTTCTCTCCCTGTAATTTCTAACCACTGGTCCCAATTCTACCCTCAGGAACAATATTTTTTCAAGTGTAGCTTTGCTTCCACATGAAAATCTTTCAAATATTTAAAATCAGAAACTGAGGTCAAAGGAGATAATTACTATCCAAGGTATTTTAATTAGTTCAGCCAGGTTTCCTGACTCATATGCCAGAAGAATTTCCTCTACATTATCCTGCAATCAATCCTCTCCTTTCCTCAAAATATTTCCTTCTCTATGCCAAACATCCCCAATTCCTTCAGCTGCTCCTAATTTAAGGAATTTCAAGTTCTTCACCATCCTGGTTGTTCTGTTTTGTCAATATTCTTCTGAAAAGATATAGAACTGAAAATAGTAATCTTCCATTAATTTCCTTCACTTAGACTTTATGTTTTCATGAATGCTGCCAGGGTTCAGATTTCCCTGTTCAGTAACCACGCCACACTGTTGGTTAATACTGAACTTGTGGTTCACTAAACTCTTTCCTCTTTTACACATTGACAGTTGCCAGGTTTCTTCCACCTGATTTTTTTGAACCCCACCATCCAGCAGAAAGCTAAAAACATGTTACAATCTACTTGAATGATTGTCGTTATCCTTTTACATTGCAAATCTTAAGTGAAAAGAAGGTACCCTAAATATCATAGAGACACAGCAGATGCCCACTTACCTTATACAAATTCAACTATAAACACTTGGCAAAAAAGAAAAAGAAAGAGAGGGAACCAACAAGAAATCTCTTATTCTCTTCCAACCCGAGGCGCACAGACTCCATGTGCCTCAGAGCGGGGCTGCAGACTGGGGACGGGGCAGGGAAACCAAAATCAAAGAGCAACACAAGGTACCTCTTGAATTTTGAGCTTCTAGGGCTCTGGTCTTGTAAGTTTCAGAGTAATTGAAGGGCTTTTCAGAACAAATTTTAACTTTACCCGATTCTGCCTTCCCATCCCCAAGCCCAGTAAGATGACACTTCTGGGAATCTAAACAGCCGCAAGTGCTCTTCCTTAGCAGCTTTGACTGTGAGATGCAGTGCAGTGTGGTGCAGGAAGTGTAGACCTGTCTAAACTGGCCTCTAGCTGTGCGCATCGCTATTCCTCTCACACCTACGTGTAGGCAGGATTGCTGGGAGGACCTGAGATGGTACATGCAGAATGCCCCCAGCAAAGGGTAGCTGTGGTTATCCCCCTGTGGGCTGCACCCCATGCACCCCCACCCCTCAGGCTTTCTGCCTTCAAGTCACTGACAAGCAAAGGGGGCCCAGCAAGTCAGACCAGTGTATAGCCAGGGAACTTAACTGAAAATGGAATATATATATATAGTGTTATAGACCAACGTTACCTCAATTAAATAAAAAATAATTTAAAAATAAATTTGAGTAAAATTAAATTTAATTAGTTTTTTAAATGTCAAAAAAACAGAAGTAAAAAAGCATAGACTTGGAGTTTGTGGAGCACTGCCTGGGCCCCTACAGGCAGTAGGATCTATGTGAATGCACCAACCTCTAGTCCTTGTTTGTCACAGGAGGTAAAGCGTTCAGGGTGTACAGCACTGAATCTGTGCCGTCGTTAGGCTGGTGCATCACTGGGAGGAAACCAGGAGAAGCCGGAGGGCACACACAGGCGCTGATTCCGCGACGCCCATTGCTGCCTCCCCGGGGAAGAACATCTGATCTGTTCCTTGCAGTTTGCATAGTGATGATCTGATATTTGCATAAATACAGCAGCCACTAGCTATCCGTGGCTATTTTAATTTTTAATTTTATAAAATTAAAACTGGTTCCTTAGTCACACTGGCCACATTTCAAGTGTTCAACAGCCACATGTGGCCAGCGCCTACCTTATAGGACAGAGCAGACACAGACATTTTCATCATCTCAGAGAGCACCACTGGATAGTGCTAAGATCTTACAATCCTGTGAGGTATGTATTTTTATCTGCCCCTTACAGATAAGAAAACTGAGGCTCAGAGAGCTTACATGACCTGCCCAGGATGGTAGTATCAGATCCAGAACAAGAGCCCACATCTTCTGACTCCAAGGTCAAACTGTTTTCCATTTCTTCCCTGTCAGCCATCTATCACTGAAAAAACTGGGGGGGCCTGAACAGAGGATGTCCTGGGTTTTTAAGAGCACTCATTCTGGTAGTCCTTGGGTCATGTCAGAGAGTCTGAATAGTTATATGGATAGTCGAAGTGAATTCAATCAATTCGACCACATATTGAGAGAAACCTGAATAACGAATCCAGAGAGCTGGTAAGAAGCTCACGGGTTCCACATCACTCCTTTGGGATACTGTGAACACCTAGTAGCAAACTGCACTTACTTCTTATACTCACTGTAAACAATATTGTGTAATTGGCAGCTTCACTCTGAATAAAAAGTAGGTATTCTCCAGCTTGGGTTTCTGTCATTTTCAAAATGACCATGGAAACAACTCCTCTGAAAAACAAGAAAGAGAACTGGTTATTTTGGAAAACGTGTGAAACTAAAAACATAAAATTTCATACTGACTCAGAAGGCAGGTTGGTGGCTCCTGCATTCCATCTCTGGCGGGCAGGGAGGGCCGCTCTGTGGAGCAGAGAGCTTCTCTCGTGTGCCCAACAGTCAGCCTGAGCCTTGTGAGTTTGACCTTACTGTTAACACGTCCCTCCCTTGACAGCAAGGGAACTCCATTCCAGCACCTTCTCCTCATGCCACCTGAGCCCCTTGGAGAAAAACCTCCCACCCAAAAAGGCCCAGGCTTGGTGGTACGCTCCCATCAGCGGGGCGGACCATTCCCTTCGACCGCAAAGCTCCCTCCACAGTCATATCTGCCCAGTCACCTGGCCACCAGCCTCAGTTCCCCATTTGCTGTACCAGATTACTGTATAAGCAAGACACACTGAGACAAAGAACAGTCTGCTTTGTGCCTCTCTCTCTCTCTAGATGAAAGAGTTCGAGCAAAATCTGACACAAGGCATTTTCCTGTGAAGTAATAATTACACTGACATATCACAGAGATGTAAGGAGGAAGACGTCTCAATGTTAGCATTTTTAACTTTTGAGATACTTGGTCGAGATAAACTTGGCTAGCGGCATTCTCTGCAAGGAATCAACTTTGATGGCTGTTTGGTGATACTCATTCTCATTAAAGCTTAAAATATTCTCTCGCAGTTTGCTGAGTAATGTTTCATTTAAATTTACACTTTCTGACCTTTAGACCCTTACTAATCAGAGTGCCGTCTTTCTCCAACAGTGTTAGCATCAACTGGGCATTGACAGAGATGCAGAATCTCAGGCCCCATCCAGACCTACTGAATTAGAACCTGCGTTTTACCAAGAAGGCCACGCAACACAATTGCACATTACAGTAGTCGCCCCTTATCCTCGGAAAGTGACTTTGCTCTCCGAGGTTTTCCTTACCTACACTTAACCATGGTCTGAATATATGCAATGGGAAATTCCAGAAGTAAACAATCTGTAAGTTTTAAATTGCACATCATTCTGAGGAGCATGATGAATTCTCGCACCATCCTGCTCCGTCCTGCCTGGGGCGTGAATCATCCCTTTACGTCTTTGTCCAGTGTATCCAGGCTGTGTACCCTACCCACCGTTAGTCACTTAGTAGCCTTCTCCATACCAGATTGACCGTCTCCATATCACAGTGCTTGTGTTCAAGTCGCCCTTATTTTACCTAATAATGGCCCCAAAGTGCAAGAGTAGTGATGCTGACAATTCAGATACACCAAAGAGAAGCCGTAAAGTGCTTCCTTTAATTGAAAAGGTGAAAGTTCTTGACTTAGAGAGGAAAGAAAAAAATCATATGCTGAGGTTGCTAAGATCTACAGTAACTTTTATTTCAGTATATTGTTATAATTGTTCTATTTTATTATTAGTTATTGCTGTTAATTTCTTACTATGTCTAATTTATAAATTAAACTTTATCATAGGTATGTATGTATAGGAAAAAGCATAGTATATATAGGGTTTGGTATTCTCTGTGCTTTCAGGCATCCACTGGGGGTCTTGGAATGTATTCCTGGTGGATAAGGGGGTCTACTGTCTATTCAAGGAGCTCAAGAGTACATGTGCTCACACACCTATAGACGTAAATCAGCAGGGTTAATATTTGATTTGCTTCTGCAATATTTTGGTTATGCGTCTTCTTTCTCTGAACCATTCACTCTCCTAGTATCATCTGTGAACTCTTGGGCATGTCAAACAAAACCCTAAGACAGTTATCAAAGCTTAGGTGTTCACTCTTTCTGGCTATGAGTCCGAGTCCAGATGTAAATTTCTGCAATTCTCTACTGTGAAAAAGTCACTAAAAATGTTTTGGTACTAAGCTGACTAATCCACATAAGACCAATGACTTTGGCTCACAAACTGGGCCGCCTGTCCTAAAGCCAAAAAGCGAACCTCTCATGGAGTGAAAAGAACTCTACTTTTTCACTTTGATTTTTGGTCTCAATCCAAGGAGAACTGCTGTGTTACCAAATTTTAACAAGATTACAAGAACATTTCTTCAAGCCAAAATTCTTAATAGAAGAGCGTCTCGGTTTGAACCCAAGATAAAAGTAACTGAAAAACAGAAGTGAGTAATACTCAAAAGAGGAAAGGAAAATGAATGTGTTCCAAGATTTAGAACCAAACTTCAGAATTATAGTCATTGTCCTGAAAATTACTTACGCATTTGTTTGACCTTAAAGGAACAAATACAGATACTTGGGACAAGTCAGTCACAGAGATGTTCCCTCATACCTCAGTCAAGCAACACGGCACCCCCTTAGGCCATCTGGATGCCACTTACTGCACTGTTCCTGGAAAGACGACGCCTCTCCTACAGCTATGAGGCACCAGAACGCCCCCCGTAATTAGCGAGAACTGGTGGCCTTAGAATCCTTAAGTGGGCATTTGAATGGCCTGTGCCCCTCGCTTCCTGCCCCTATGTGGTCTCAGCGAGAGGACAAGGACAGCAGAGGGCAGCAATCCGCACAGAATTAGATACAGGCCTGGACGTTAATCCACAAATCTTGGCTAAGATATTTTTCTGGATTGTGAGACTCACGTTCGTCACACACAGATCAATTTCTTACTAAAATATTTTATGGCTGTCACATTTTATTGCAATTCTGCTCATTGTACTTGAAACTAAATAGATAAAACCAAATGTTCTCTCCCTAGGCAGTTCCCGGAAAGAAGCTTCTTAATAATACTTTAACCAGGGAGCTTCTTGCTACTTTACCTAGAAGGTAATGAAAACTTTCTAACTTTTCAACTTTAAGACAAAATCCAGTTACAAAACAAGACATCTTAAAAATCTCAAATCTTCTTTTCACTATTTGTTTTACATTTTGCCAGCCACTCACTGCTTTCTTAGGCCCCACCTGTGTCTACATATCTATAGATAATTTTTTTAATTCATAGGCTTTATTTTTTAGAGCAATTTTAGATTTATAGAAAAATTGGACAGAAGGTACAGAGAGATCTCATATATGCCCTTCCCCCTCACACACACACACACACACACACACACACACACAGTGTTTTCCCGATTAGTAACATCTTGCACAGGTGTGGTGTATTTGTTGCAATTGATGAACCAATATTGATATTAATTTAAGTCGACGGTTTACATTTTTGCATTGCACATCCTACGGGTTTTGACAAATATATAATGTCATGTATTCATACCCTAACTACATTTTTGGTTCATTATTGCCCTGGAGGTAAGACTCATGATGAACATGGACAGAACTTTGAAAAAAAACCTCCAAATGATGCACATTTTATGGCAATAAAGTATTTCTCCCCAAATCCCGTGGTTGCGCACACACACGCACACACACGCACACATACCCACACTCCTTACCTGTTTTGTAAATCAAAGTGTGGCTGGCAGTTCAGGGAGCTGTGTTTAAAGACCCAGAGACAGGAAATGTTCCCAGGGGTGTTGACCAGCACTTGCAGTGTGATGGAGGCAGATGTGGCCACTTCCACGGTGGCTGCTTTGTAGACTGCCTCTGTGCTCTCAGGCCGCAAGGCACATCCCAGGTCTTCCGGGGATTCTGACACCTATGTTGTAGATGAAACAATGTGAATTTACTACAAGTGCAGGTTCAACGCATCCTTTTCTTAGCTGGAAATTTTATTAAATATATACATGTTGATATACTGCACATGACACCCAAGCATGTCATAACCCATTGAGAACATACTGCTGACTGAAAAGCCTATTAACAATAATTCTCTAAAGAAAAGATAGATAACATTAGGCTGCATTTCAAAAATGATTTACAGACTGCTATGGGTTGAATTTTGCCCCCCCCCCAAATTCATATGTTGAAATCCTAACCCCCCAGTACCTCAGAATGGGGCCTTATTTGGAGATAGGTAATCAAGTTAAAATGAGGCCATTAGGGTGGGCTCTAATCCCATATAGGTGGCGCCCTTGTAAGAAGGGGAAATTTGGAAAAGACACGCACACCGGGAGAACACCATGTGAACATGGAGATGGCCCTCCACAAGCCAAGGAGAAAGCCTGGCACAGATCCTTCCCTCACACCCTCAGAGGGAACAAGCCCTGCCAACATCTAGGTTTCAGGTCTCCAGCCTCCAAAACTGCGAGACAACAAGTTTCCGTTGTTTAAGTCACCCCGTCTGTGACACTTTGTTATGGCAGCTCTAGCAAACTAATATACAGACAGTCATCATAAAATTCATGTTTTTGTGGTTATTGGTATGTAGATAAGAATCTACATAGTAATAGCAAATTGGTATCCATGTTAGAGGAAATTTAAAAACCAAAATATTTTCTGGGCGTATATCCCCATAGACTCATTGCCACCACCGCACTCCTTGCCTGCTTTAAATAATTGAAACATATTGAGAGGAAGGTGTGGTGGCAACTTCTGCTGCTAAACCCCTCACCTCCTGCCCCCTCTAACATGTGGCATAGCACATGCACATGCGTATGCACATGCACACAAGTTTCTTCAGACGAAGAGCAGGATCGCTCTTCTGCTACTGATCATAAGCCATATTTCTGGTTTTAGTTGTTCATTTATTCAGTTAGCATCTGATGAGTTCATTTGGTCAACATCTGGTTATTGCTAGACCATCTGCTGCATACCACGGACTAGAAAGAAAACACATTGATCTTGTCCTTAAAGAGTTTTGAGTCTAGTAGGAAGAAATAACCAAAACATAAGGTGACACATGATGTGCCCCATAAAAAAGATACAAACTATCTTGAAAGGAGAGTTTAAGTGCTCTGGAACTTCAGAGGAGGGAGAAGTGATTTCCAAGCTGAGATTGTGGGGATGGGGATGCTTTCCTGAAGTCCAGCAATTGAGCTGAATCTCAAAAGATGGGCATAGAATACAGTAAAAAGAAGGAAATAGTTGCAACACATATTACAAAATATTCACAGAAAATATTTGCAATATACTACAAGAAAATATTTGCAATCTATATTACAGGCAAAGAGTTAATATCCTTAATATATATTCTTTTAGATTGAGGGACACAGGACCAAAACACTGTAGAAACATGAGAAAAAGAAATGAATAGGCAATTGACAAAAGAAGATATCAAGAATGGCACTCAAATATATGAGAAAATATTCAAACTCAGTTATAATTAGAAAAACATAAAACAACACTGACATATCTCTTCTTATCTTTCAACTGGCAAAATTTTAAAGTATAACAACACACTTTGTTGGTGAGGCTGGGAGGAAACAGCTACTCGCATACATTGCTAGCGAATACAAACTGGTGCAACCCTTTTTGAGGGGAATCTGGCAACATCTGATAAAACTACATATGCACTCACCCTTGGAGCTGGGAATCCCAATTCAAGGACTATACCTCCAACAATTAATTGCAGCATCATTTGTAATTGCAAAATATTGAAACCACCTAAAGGCTCCTACACAGGAGAATGGTTGAACAAACTATGGTACATCCACACAATGGAGTACTATGCAGCTGTAAAGAAGAATGAGGACAATCTCTATGAACTGATTTGGAGTGATTTCCTGGATATGCTGTCAAGTGAAGAAAGCTAAGTGCAAAAAGTATCTACTTTCAAGTGTGGTACACTTCATGTGAGAAAGAAGTGGGTTAAGAAAATACACATGAGGGCCGGCCCAGTGGTGCAGTGATTAAGTTGCACATTCTGCTTCTTGGCGGCCTGGGGTTCACCGGTTCGGATCCCGGGTGTGGACATGGCACCGCTTGGCACGCCATGCTGTGGTAGGCGTCCCACATGTAAAGCAGAGGAAGATGGGCACGGATGTTAGCTCAGGGCCAGGCTTCCTCAGCAAAAAGAGGAGGACTGACAGTAGTTAGCTCAGGGCTAATCTTCCTCAAAAAAAAAAAAGAAAGAAAAAGAAAATACACATGAATCTGCTCATTTTTGCACAAGAAATACAAGAATAATATCAAAAATTTAAAGGGACTGGTTAATTATAGGAGGTAGGTGGGAAAAGGATGGAAACTTGGTAGCAGGGATGAGGAGGGAGTGATACTTTTTTGACTGTATCTTTTTATATAGCTCTGGCTTTTAGGACCATAATCATAGGACACACTCAAAAACTAAATAATTAATTGGGACTGGCCCAGTGGCGTAGTGGTTAAGTTCATGCGCCCCACTTTGGCAGCCCAGGGTACACAAGTTCAGATCCTGGGTTTGCACCTAGCACTCCTCATCAAGCCATGCTGTGGCAGCATCCCACATAAAATAGAGGAAGACTGGCACAGATCTTGGCTCAGTGACAATATTCCTTAAGCAAAAGGAAGATTGGCAACAGATGTCAGCTCAGGGCTAATCTTCCTCATGAAAAAACAAACAAGAATTAATTAATTAAAACTAAGATATGGGGGAAACTCAAAATGGACTACAAACCAAATGAACTTAATTGTGTTACAAATAAATAACCTAACCATAGTGAAAGGAGTGGGAAAGAAAAGAACCAACCTAAGTAGCTTTGGAAAATAATACTTTGGATACTATAAGGCTAAAGATAAAAAGAATTGCATGCAAATACTGTACTCTAGTTAGTAAATCTTTTTCTCACTGGGATATGGGTTAGCAATTCTGAAACTAGTTTATTTATGGACTAAGATGAATAAATAAGTGAGTTACGATAGATATTGAAAGCCAGATTTCTTACCATCAGAGAGAGAAGTACAAGTAAGGAAAGAGAGAAAGCTACAATGAACACTTTCGTGCTGAATTGAAATCAGAATTATCAGCATGAACTTATGGTGATGATAGATAGATGATAGATAGATAGATAGATGATAGATATAGAGATGAGAGAGAGAGATAAATACAGTGGAGGGGTTGGTTAGTAAACATGAATACATTTCCTAGCTCTGCCTGCTGAAACGGCTTAGAAGAAATGGCACCCCAGTGGCAACAAGCACACTCAAGCCCTCAGATCTTGGTTTCTAAATGCTATTCTCCAAGAAACCAGTGTTCCATGGATAAGTGGTTAACTCCAAGGCTGAGGAAGGAAAAATACAAAACCACCTATGATGTAGTGCCAGAAAGTAAGGAAGTGCTTGAAAAAAGATAGGGACATGCTGAAAGGACCCTGGAGCTGACTTGAAGCAGCTCCCAATGGCCAACGCTGGAAAAATTTGAGCAACAAAATAAAAATGACAGTTTTGGGTTATAACCCATAGAATAAAATAAATATCTATGAGTCCATACTGATATAAAGAAATAACTGAATAAATAAATAAAATGGAGAGAAGGGATAGCTCTTCCTCACAGAAGAATTCCAATTAATAAATGTAGAGGGAATCAGGGAAAAAGAAAATCACCATTAGGCAAACACTGTAGTAATAATTGTTGAAGGCAAGATCTGCCAATGGATGCTAAAATCAGTTAGCTGAAAATTGGAGGAGAAACAGGATATTTGCATCTCCCCCCAAACACTTGTTAATTACAAAGGAAAAATAGTAACTTTGCAGAGGAGAAACCCAGCACACGCTATCTTAATCTTCAAATAGAAATGACAGATGATGGAAATATTCAGATTTTAAACAATAATTAAGTGGATTGTGAAAACAGTAAAACCATCTTGTTTTGGTTCAGGATATACTGGTAATATAACTAAAGATGTAGTTGCTTGTTTATTAGAGTTACATTGACAAGTTTTGTCTACTCCAGAGTGCTTCGTTATTCACAACAGCCCTGAACTATAGGATTTCTAGAAAGATGTCTCATTGGAGAACTGTGAACTATAGAAGAAATAAAAACCAATTTTTTAAAAAGCTACTGACAACCTAACAACCCACTTTACACTGAAGTGGGAAAATATCCAAAAGGAGTAGCTTCAGCTTCAGGAAGGTGAAGGCATGCTACGAAGACAGCTCACACGTGTAGCGTTAGGATTCGTTTGCGTTGTCTGTTTCATGCTGTTTAAGAACTGCTGGTTGGGGTTGGCCCCCTGGCTGAGTGCTTGAGTTCGCGAGCTCTGCTTTGGCGGCCCAGGGGTTCACTGGTTCGGATCCTGGGTGCGGACATGGCACCGCTCATCAGGCCATGCTGAGGTGGTGTCCCACATGCCACAACTAGAAGGACTCACAACTAAAATATACAGCTATGTACTGGGGGAATTTGGGGATAAAAGCAGAAAAAAAAAAGATTGGCAACAGTTGTCAGCTCAGGTGCCAGTCTTTAAAACAAAAATGAACTGCTTGGTCTTAATACAATCCTGAATATCACATAAGAAAATAATTCATACTACATGAAAAAGTAACGCAGGGCTCAATGCTAGGAAGTGAGACCAATCTTCATTAACTTTTTTAAGATTGTGTTTTATAAGAAAACACTTAAAGGCGTGCAGTTATTTTCTTACATTGAAAAGATGCTAAAAGTTTAAAACATATTAGCAAATAATATTAAAATTTTTTGTCCACACTGAAATACTGTGTAAGCAAAATGCCTTAATTATTAATAAGCCAACGTGTTATGATACCAATATCTGTTAAAAAATTAAAACCAACCATGCTTCTGGCATAAAAAAAATCACGTATTAAATTGAAGTTTTATATTCATGTAGAATATTGTTATTAAAACCTATTTCACACTGTTTTTAAATGTTGAGAATATTTTCAATATCTCTGATTTTTTTTGGGGGGGGGGGGCGCTGGTCCAAGGCACCGTGTCATGTGTTTATGTATTATACTTAGTAAAAGAAAACAGAATGACTATATATTTGTACGAATCCTAAACTGGAAATGTCCACAGAATTGGCTAATTTATGTTTACTTTTTGTTGTATGTAGACTTCTAATATTTTCAGTTCTCTATCATTTAAGTTTCCTGTATTTGAGTAAATAGCTAGGTTCTGTTAGATGAGTAGCATGAAGGAGAAGAGTAAAGAAAAACAAGTTGGAACTCGAAGGAGTTAGAGGCAGACTTGGGAGCAATGTGTATGTCAGTTTAAGTAATGGGAAGTCACTGTAGGTTCCAAGCCAGGCAGTAAAGGATGTAGCTGTGCCTCGGGAAGAATAGTCAGGCAGCCCTATGTGAGATGAACTTATGATATTATTGTGATTATGAACTAGTTAATGAGGGCTTGAACTAGGGAAGTGGCAGTGAGACTAGAGAATATAAGGTGATTACATGAGAACTATTAAAGGTGAAATTGACAAGACTTGGTAACTGACCGAGTATGAAGACAAGGGAGAGGAAGTAGTCCAAAATGACACTGAGATGTGGCTTTCAAGCCTGGGAACTAGACAGGGCCATAAATAGAAATTAAATCCTGCAAGAATAGGAGCAGGTTTGGGGAAATAGAAATGAAATAAATTACATAGGTGTATTTCAATGAGCAAATGGAAAATCTATTTATCTATATCCAGGAGGCAGTTGGAAGTTAGAGACTCAGGTTTGAGAGAGAAGGCTGGATTCTCTTGAAGGAGAAAGGGAAACTCTGTTACTTATTCATGCTGAGTACCAGTGTCCTTCCTGAATCCAAACCCAAAGAGAACATGACTCTTGATGGAATGGCGTGCCAGGTAGCAAGGGGTATAAAGGCCCGTCTGCACCAGATATGAGGACATAATATACTTAAATACAGAAAAAGAAAAGCCCACATTGCCATGGTAGGTCTCAGTAGCTTACACAGTATGGTCTCTAGAGAAAGTAGCTAAAGTTGTAATTTTAATATTACTTTACCGTGGGATATGATGATGATATCCCCACTGAGGAGTCATTGTTCTTGTGATTGATTAAAACACACTTGATCACAGGCAGATCTTGATTTGTAATAGTCTCAAATATCATTGTTGAAAAAACAACTGTAAAACAAAACAAAGACAATGATGTTGATACATGTACACCTTAAAAAGGAAATATGGATTCATCTTACAACAAAACAAAGTGTAATCAAGGAAAAGTGGCCGACAGGAAAGTATGTGGGAAATATAATTTCATAAAAGGCAAGTCTTACTATAAGTCAGGAGCAGAAATACTTAGAGCAGTGCTGTCCAATAGAACATTCTGCAGTGATGGAAATATTCGTAATCTGTGCTGTCCAGTACAGTAGTCATTAGCTACACGTGGCTATTAAGTGTTTGAAATGAGGCTGGTGCATCTGAGGAAGTGATTATTTGTATACAGGCCACTTTTTCTTCTTTATGGATGCCTGTATAATCTTTTCTTTGTGCACTAAAATTTTCAAAATTATGTGTAGTGTTGAGAGTCTATTTTCATCCACTGTGCCGGATACTCAATTCGTCTTTTCAATCTGGAAACTCATGTTTTTCTCTTTGGAGAAGTTTTCTTGAATTATTTGATTCCTTCTCTCTCCTTCACTTTGTGTTCTCCTATTTTTTGGATGTTTTTCCTAAATGACTGATGATGCTTGACAGTCTGCTCATATATAACATAAAAATGAAACATGACATGTTCATCGTAAGCTCTGTGCACATGGTTTGACCTGCTGCCCGATCTTCTCTGTATGGTTGTCTTTAGGTTTTCTCACGAGCTGGTCAGATTCCCCAGAGAAGAGTCTTGTCACTCTTGGCTGCTGCCCATGTTCTGGGAGCTGGTGCTGGCAATTTACACTCTTCTGGGTATAAGATTTCCCCAAAATTCCCGCAGTGGAAACCACGCTGCTTCTCAGCTTTCTCAACGTCCACCTTATGATTCTCCTTTCTTCATGTGCTTTATAGCTCTCAAAATTTTATTTTCTCCCCTCCATCATCTTTGTCCGTATATGTTTATGTCTTTAAAAACATTATTTTACTGTCATTTTAGTGCACTATTGGTAGACAGGAGGTAAATGGCTATGTTCAACCATTTTTGTATCTTGTAATCTGCTTAAAAATCTCAGCATTGCACCTATGGGAACCACACAGTAAGACACATTCACTGGTTTGTTTTAACTGTCTTTCTTATTTTATTCTTTATTAAAGAAGCCACACTATACCAATACAAGTGGAACTATAAGTGAAAATTCATTCTAAATCCTGACACCCTAACAAATAAACCATTTTCATTTCTCTAGAACCTTTCCCATCTGTAAACATAGTTTTCAACTAATTGTATTGACAGAGTAGAAATCACGTTATATTTTATATTCTGATTTTTTTTTGGTTGAGGAAGACCAGCCCTGAGCTGACATCTGTTGTCAATCTTCCTCTCTTTGCTTGAGGAAGATTGTTGCTGAGCTAACATCTGTGCCAATCTTCCTCTGTTTTGTATATGGGATGCTGCCACAGCACGGCTTGATGAGGGGTATGTAGGCCCACACCCCGGATCTGAACCCGAGAAGCCCAGCTGCCAAAGTAGAGTGGGTGAACTTAACCACTATGCTGCTGGGCCAGCCCCTATTCTGATTTTGAGCATAATACCTCATAAGCATTTCTTATGATACTACATATAATTGTTTTGCATTCTTTTTGTGGACATAACAAAAATGACCTAATCATTCCCTTGCTATTACACATTTTATATTTTTTCCCCTGCCATTTAAAATACTTCATACTGAGCCTTTCATTTTTAAAATATTATTTCCTTAGTATAAATTTCTGGAAGTGGAATTAGTGGATCAAAGAATATAAACATATTTAAAAGGTTTTTGATATGATTGTCATTTCGTTTTGCAGAGATGCTATACCATTTTATGTCACCACGTGTAGGGTGAGAATGTAATAATTTTACTACAACCTCATCAGCATTTAGTTATTACGTATTTTTTATTTTCCTTAACATAGCCCCCAGTCTTCTAAAGGAAACTAAATGAGCACAACTGCAAGGGCAAGGGAAGAGAAAAACAAGTAACATTAAAGAGAATTTAAGAACCTTTCCTGCCCTATTCCCTAATGGTTTTTTCTCCCTACTCTTTTTTTAAAGTTTTACTCAGTATAATTAACGTACAATAGGTTTAACATATTTAGAGTACACCATTTGATAAGTTTTGACATAAATACATATATATCTGTAAAACCAACACCACTGTCAAGATAGTGAATTTATCCATCACCCCCAAAAGTTTCCACATGCCCCTTGGCAATCCCTCCCTCCTGGCTGCCCCACTCCTGCATGCCAAGCAACCTCTGATCTCCTTGCTGTCACTATAGATTAGTTTGAAGTTTCTAGAATTCCATACAAGTGGAATCATACAGTATGAACTTTTTCTTTTTTTGTCCAGCTTCTTTCATTGTATTTTTTCTTTTTGTGAGCTTCATCCACATTACAGTATATATCAGTAGTTCACTCCTTTTAATTGCTCAGTAGCAGTCTATTATACAGATGTAACACAATATTTTAATTCATTCGTCTGTTAACAGAATTTGGATTGTTTCTACTTTGGGGCTCTTACAAATAAAGCTGCTTTGAACATTTGTATTCAGGTCTTGGTAGGGACATATGCTTTCATTTTTCTTGAGTAAATACCAAGGAGTGGACCACCTAGGTCATAAGGGAGGTGTCTGTGTAACTTTTTAAGAAAGTGCCAAATTGTTCTCCAAAGAGGTTGTATAATTTTATATTCCTATTGTCAGTGTATGGGAATTCCACCTGTGCCACATCCTCACCAACACTTGGTATGATGAGAATTTTTAATTTTAGCCATTCTAATAGGTGTATTATATCTCACTGTGGTTTTAATTTGCATTTTCCTACTAATGATGTTGAGTATCCTTTCAGATGCTATTTGACAGCCTGTATATTCGTCGGTACTGTGTCTGTTCATATCTTTTGCCCCAAACAAGTCTTTTTAAATTGAGTTGTTTCTTTTCTTTTCTTTTTTTTGCTGGGAATGAGCTGGAGATGAGCTGACATCTCTCTTTTTTTTTCTCCCCAAAGCCCAATTACATAGTTGTATATTCTAGTTGTAAGTCCTTCTAGTTCTTCCATGTGAGCCACCACCACAGCATGGCTATTGACAGACAAGTGGTGTGATTCTGTGCCCAGGAACCACACATGGTCCCCTAAAGAGGAGCACCCCAAACTTTAACCACTAGGCCATCAGGCTGGTTCTTGTTTATTTTCTTATTATTAAGTTTTGAGAGTTTTTTCCCCTGAGTTTTATTGAGATGTGGTCAACATATAATATTGATAAAGTTAAGGTATACAACATAATGATTTGATATATGTAGATATTGAAACTTGATTACCAAAATAAGTTTAGCTAACATTCATCACCTCACAAAGTCACAAATTTTTTTCTTGTGATGAGAACTTTTAAGATCTGCTCTCTAAGCAACTTTCAAATATACAATAGAGTACTGGTAACTATAGTCACCATATTGTACATCATATCCGCAGAACTTATTTATCTTTTCACTGGAAGTTTGCACCTTTTGACTACCTTCACCCACTTCTCCCACCTGCTACCCCTACCTCTGGCAACCAGCAATGTCTTCTCTGTTTTTATGAGTTCATTTTTCTCAGATTCCACATAAAAGTGAGATCATAAAGTATTTGTCTTTCTCTATCTGACATTTCACTTAGCATAATGCCCTCAAGGTCCATCCATGTTGTCACAAATGGCAGGATTTCTTTCTTTTTTATGGCTGAAAAATATTCCGTTGTATATACACACATCACATTTTCTTTATCCATTCATCCATTAATGAACACTCAAGTTGTTTCCATGTCTTGACTACCAGAAGTAATGCTGCAATGAATACAGGGGTGTAGATATCTCTTCAAGATGGTGATTTTGTTGCCTTCAGATATATACTCAGAAGTAGAATTGCTAGATCATATGGTAGTTCTATTTTTAGTTTTTTGAGGAACCACTATACTGTTTTCCATTTCAGCTGCATCAGTTTACATTCCCACCAACAGCACACAAGAGTTCCCTTTTCTCCACATCCTTGCCAAAACTTGTTTCTTGTCTTTTTGATAATAGGTGTGAGGTAATATCTCATTGTGGTTTTGATTTTCATTTCCATAATGATTAGTGATGTTGAGCATCTTTTCATTACCTGTTGGCAATTTGTGTGTCTTCTTTGGAAAAATGCTTATTCACTTCCTCTCCATTTTTTAAACTGGATCGTTTTTTTTTCTACTGAGTTGTTTAAGTTCTTTATATATTTTGGATATTAATCCCTTATCAGATATATGATTTGCAAATGTTTTCTCCCATTTTGTAAGTTACCTTTTCACTTTGCTGATGGTTTCCTTTGCTATGGAAAAGCTTTTTAGTTTGATGTAATCCCACTTGTTTATTTTTGCTCTTGTTGCCTTTGTTTTTGATGTCAAAAACCAAAAAAGACCAATGTGAAGGAGCTTATCCCCTATCTTTTCTTCTAGGATTTTTATGGTTTCAGGTCTTACATTCAAATCTTTAACTCATTTTGAATCGATTTTTGTGTATGGTGTAAAATAGGGGTCCAGTTTCATTCTTTTGCATGTGGCTGTCCAGTTTTCCCAACACCATTTATTGAAGAGACTATCATTTCCCCATTGTATAAACTTGACCACTTTGTCATAAATTAACCATACGTGCATGGGTTTATTGCTGGGCTCTCTATTCTGTTCCACTGACCTATGTGTCTGTTTTTATGCCAATATCTTACTGTTTTGATTACTGTAGCTTTGTAATAGTGTTAAAAATCAGGAAGTGTGATATCTCCCATTTAGTTCTTCTTTCTCAATATTACTTTGGCTATTTAGGGTCTTTTGTGGTTCTGTATAAATTTTAGAATTGTTTTTTCTATTTCTGTGAAAAATGTCATTGGAATTTTGATAGAGATTGCACTGAATCTGTAGATTGCCTTGATAGTATGGATATTTTAATAATATTAATTCTTCCAGTCCATGAGCACAGAAATTCCATTTATTT